TTCCACTTGACACGATCTCCCACATCTTCTACGCAACTCTACGCTGTCCTCAAATCGCATTCAATAGCATCCCTCCATCTCTTTTTTGGTCTTCATCTATCTCTTCTTCCTTCAACATTCATTTCTATAACTGTTCTTACAGCTTTCGATTCTTCTTTCCTCATACCNTCTATAACTGTTCTTACAGCTTCCGATTCTTCTCTCCTCATAACATGACTAAACAATCTAAGTCTATTTTCTCTCATCTTATCCTATCTTCTCTAGTCACTCCACTCATCCAACTAAGCATTCTCAACTCTGCTACACTTATTCTCTACTCTACTTTCTTATCAACCGCCCAACACTATGAACCATACATCATAGCTGGCCTCACAACTTCATACTAAATTTAAATACTATAATTAGTATTTATTTATATATTACATTTTAAAATCAAAGAACTACTAATCAGGATATAATTAAAGAAATAAGAGTTGATGTTGCTTTTGGAATAATTCACCAATTTCTCTAAAGGAAACACTATCTACAGATTTGCATCGAAGCGTTTCTTATGATAGTGATTTTAATCACTGTCAGATATCATCTNCGTTTTTCATGATAGTGATTTTAAACACTGTCAGATATCATCTATACTTGTCCCATCTATGCCTCGATCCCACTGTGCTACCGTTTTTTTATTTTATTTTCAAAATTCTGATTACACTAGTTTACAACAAAATTGACCTATGACTTTTTATAAAAAACTTTTTTATAAGTCTCTAGATATACTGTAACCAATTGTATAATATGATATGCATAATTTTTTACTAATACTTTCAAAATATTTATAATAAAAAAAAAAGAACATAAAAATACCAAAATATCATTTAGTTAACAGCGTTTATTATTTGAAAAAAAATATATAGGAATATATGTATAAATAAATAAAGACGTAGTTGCACAATCAGATGTCTAAAATAAAAAACACATGCTGTTGTGTTAAAAATAAATTAAACATTAACTTTTAAAAATAGATATTTTAAAATAATAATGTTTTTCACTAAAATGTAAATAATTTGAAGCTGAATGTTATTGTTTAACTTAAAGAAAAATATTGTTCAAATTATTTTGATTTTTTTTGCATTATTAATAAGTACAAATGGGGAATTAGTGTATACACAGCACCATCAGATACATATTTTAAGAGTACATGCCATTTTCTTATTTGGCAGAGTCCAGCACTGAGAAATAGATGACCAGTTGCATAAAGATGTAAATTGTTGATGTATTTAAATACAACAGCGAGTGCAAGATAAAATAAATTTATAATCTAAAATATTGTAGCAAAAATTATTTCCATAAATAGTATTAATTCATTTTTTTTTCAAATACTTCCACCATGCAATCTAACAATGCTTATTTGGCAAGAGTATATGAGAATAGTTAAAAAAAAGTTAAATGTAAAAAAAGCTCTTCAACTAGTTTCAGTTAACTCTGAAAAATAAAAACAAAATATTTAATTATTATTATAGAATAAAAGAACCCTACATCTATGTGTGTGTTTTACATAATTTTAGCACCCTAAGGATTTTATATAAATAGTATATTTAGGTTGGTGAATAATATAGCATACCAGGTATAATTGCTGCTTTTCGTTTTTTAAGTTCATCTTCAGTTATTCGATTACTTGCAATAATATTATGTTGACCAGCCCTTATTGGTTTAGCTATTAATAACAAATTGATATAAGATAATGTAAATTAATGATACCTATTTTTTTTTAAATATACCAATTTGTGGACTAGGACCTCTGCGAGCTAAATTCTTTTGCCTTACAGCATCTTTAATACGATCAACTTCATATTGGTACCTTTTCCTATCACGCATAGCACCTTCTTTAGCATCTTTTAAAGCTGCTTCAAGGGCCTATATTATAATTACCATTTATTTTATAACAGTAGAGTTCAAAATATTTTTTTTTTAACTAACAAACCTTCACTCGGTCCATTGTAGCACGCAATCTTTTCTCTAATTTGGGTAGTTCACAACGTAAGTCGGCATTATCCCTAACTAGCTGTTTATGAACTTTAGTTAACTGGTCCAAGTTATTTTCTAGGAAACTGATCTTTTGTCTTTGAGCTAAAGTACCACCACTACTAGCTTCATCTGTATCATCAACAGTAGCAGATTTCTTCATACGTGACTACAATAAAAATATAGATAAATTTAGAATAAAACAATAGCAAAAGTTTATAAAAACCCACTTGCAAATCTTGGACAAATATCTTTCTTAAATTATGTAATGTTTGAAGCTCTTTGGTAACTGTGTCTTCTAAACCTTTCAGATCTTTACGAGCTTGTTCACGACGTTCATTTGCTAAAACAAATTCTTGAAGACGTTGACTCTTTTCTTGATCTTCTTGGAGTAATTTGTTGTAATCAGTTTGTAACTGTTGTAGAGCTAATGAATATTTTTGTACTTGATCTTTAAGTTCAGTAATTAAAGCTTGTTTTTCACTAATTTCATCTCTTAATTCAGCAACCTCAATTTATTTTACATAAAATATAATTATTTTAAATATTAAGAAATCATTATTTATTTATTTTTCATATTTGTTAGTACATATTATTATTTAACATTATTTAGCATTTTTGATAATAGATTAAGAAATATTATTTCTTAAGTAATGAACATCAAAATAATAGAGCAACAATTATTTAATAAGTAATGATTATTAATTAAATTTCCAATCCCTCCCTCCTACTAGTGTAGGTGTTAATTTTTTTTATTAATGGGGCAATGCAAACATACAAAGCTGTTATTAATTTTTTTTAAATGGGTACTTTTTATTTACACAGGGTAGAATAAAGTTTTTTTTAGTCTTTTCCATATTTTTGTCATTTTGGTAGTATGATTTCATAATGCCTTAAAAATGTGTTTATTATTTGTGAATTGCTCAAAGACCACAAATTGTCAAATAACAGTAATTAATATACAAACTGGAGCGGTAGCAAACACTAAAAATGATGAAAACATTGATGTCAATAAATTAAAAATAGGCATTTTGTGGAATACTATATAAGATCAAACTAAAAACCTAATAAAAGTTCTCTAATAAAATAAAATCACTGCCACAGAACATTAGATAGTTCTACAGTCATGTGAAAAATAAAATATTCTTTTTTCAATTATTTAAAATTTAAATTTTTTGTTATTATTTTTATTTTATTTTTGTAAGTAAAATTAATTTCCAAAATTATTTTCTAAACTTAATAAAAAAAATATAAATAATTAATTATTGTAATATAAACTCACCTGTTTATGGTGAACATCTCGTAACTGATCCATTTGTTGTTCAAGAGCAGCACGCATGCTAGTTGCCTTTTCTTTTTCTTCAGCTTTTTCTTTAGATGATGATACAATATGTACTTGCTCTAAATTAAATTAATTAAGTTTGTTAAAAAAAACGAAATTCAAACAACTCTTTCATATCATTTCTATGTATAAAAAAAAATTAATATTTAACCAGAGGACATCCTATAAAAAGTTACCCTTTACAAAAAAATGTTAATTCAGCAAATTTTTTCTCAACTGGTCTATATATTGTCTTTATTAGGTTTTTATAAAAAAAAGAGCAATTGTTCTTAAAGAGAAGTGTTAAAAATTTTGCATTCAGCGATAAATCAATAACCTTGTACAAATAAATAAATTATCAATTGCTAAAAAATTTGGTTACGCATACCCGCAGCTTTAACTTTAGCAAATTCTTCTCTTAATGCATCAACATTTTCTTCTAAAGCACGTTTTTTGTTTTCTGCTTCTTTCAATGATTCTTGCATAGATTTCAAGCGAGCTTCATTTTGGGATATTTTCAATCTACTCTCTGCAAGTTCCTTTTCATAGTCACTAACCTAAATAAAAAACACTAATTTATTAAAGAAATATTAATTTTATAAATAACATTAAAAAGTTACATAAGTTATTAAAAAAAAAATTTAATTAAATTTTTACCAATCAATAAATAAATTTTAATTTAGTCATAATATATTGATACGAAATAAATAATTATATTGTACATATTAGCAAGTGCAACAACTTAAAAAACTTTATATAAAGTGGTTAAAAGATAAGGGAAATTTCAAATTTTTTTAATTTAGTACTCATTTTTATATTAAACTGGAAGATAAATGATACCTTTTTATTCATGTCACTTTGATTAGTTTCAAAGAAATTGCATCGTTGAACTAAATTTTTAACTTCTGATTTCATTTTGCTAATATAGAGCCTGGCAACAGTAAATTCTTCTTCTAATTTACAATTTCCATCACTTATGGCTTGTTGCTTCACAACATAATTAAAAAAAAAAAATGTTATACTTGGACTGGTTGAATAAAGAGAAAATGAATATGTAATTACTTACATTTAATTCTGCTTCGCTACCTATAGCCACACCAATTTCTGAAATATCTTTGAGAAGATTTGAGAGCATGTCAGTTGTACGTTTCTTTTGGTGTGCTGACATATCTTTTAATTGTTGTAATTCAGAAGAAGCCATATTGTAAGATGACTAAAAAATAATAAACAAGATAAATAAAAAATATATAATAAACTAAGAATTGAGTTCAGTAAATAATTAATTTAATTTATATTGTCATTGAAAATTGTATTTTTTAAATTAATTATATTTTTTATATTTACCTCTTTTTGTGATAATTCTTCAATAAGATTTTCATTTTCTTTATTTTTAGCATCAACTTCTTGACTTTTTTGGTCATAATTAACAGCAAGTTCTTCAAGAGCTTGTAATACTTCTTTAACTTCTTCTTTGGCACTTTCGTTTTCTTGAGTAATACGATGCATTTCTTGTTGCAACTGTTCATAATCCCTTTGTGTTGATGTCAAGAGCTATTACATAAATATATAAAATAAATTTTGTAAAGTATGCAAATTACACAAAATATTTGATTAAAAAAATTCTATAATGCAATGAGAACTTTCAAAATTTTCAAGAACGTAATTATGATGGGTATAGTTTGAAAATTTGTTTGGAGGAAAGCTATAAACCCATACTCTATTTCATAAGTTTGGGTAGCATAATTTATAAGACCTGGCAAGGATTTTTCCTAATAATTTGCTTTCTCTTTTCTTTTCATTTTTAAAAATTCTGTTCATTTGTGGGGACTAAAAATATGTTTATGGAAACTTAAGCCTTCATATTCCCATATAAATTATACTAATTGTAATAACCTTATTTTATATTAATACCAAAAGTCATAAATATTGCATTGATATACTAATTAAAAAAAGGGCTGTTTAAATAACCTCTTCTTGTTCCATAATTTGTTCTTTAAGCTTTTCAATATCCTGACTTTGTTGATTTATTTCTTCATCTTTGTCATCTAATTGTTGATATAAAGCTTCACGTTCTTCTTCTAGCTTTTGTCGCTCTTCGGTTGACATAGACTCTGTCATAACACCGCCTGGTATTGCTGGTACTGGACCACCAAACTCTATAAATAGATAAATTGATTATTATTTCAATTATTTAAATAATTATATAAATTATTTAATTTTACTACTACTTGAAAGAAATACTTTTAACATTATAACTATTTAATAATTTATTGTTATATAACTAAAATTAGAAGTCTAAAGTACAAGTAAATATTTGAAATATATAGACATATACAGAGTAATTCATTAAGGATAAGACACTCATTTTCTTGTTAACTATTGAAAATTTTAAATTTTTGGTAAGGAAAATATTGTTTAATTCAAAAAACTCTACAATAATTTGTAGTAATATCATTTTTCATTCCTTCGAGATAAAAAAAATTAATTTGAATTTTCTTAAATTTATTAGATTTGTTCCTATAATTTAGGGATGGGCAACTCAAAGTTACTAGAGGGCCAATTTTTAGAAAATTAAAATCTAGCGGGCCAGAGCATAGTAAGCAAAAAAAAAAAAAAAGGTCATTCAAAATTTTTTTGTTTATAATGTAATAATACAAAACGGGTTATTAAAATAATTTAATTAAATATAAATAGATATTTGTTTAGTGGGAGTTTTGAGCATGTGTCGCTTCTAATGACAACGCGGCAAAATCGACTTCTATTTCGGACGAAGAAACACGAAGTAGGTGACTTAATGTTTCATCTTTAAGTCGATTTCTATGCTTTGATTTAATATGTTTCATGTTTGAAAATGTACATTCACAAATTTAAGTAGTCCCAAACATGGATAACATTTTTAATGCGAACTCTCGTAAAAGTGGATATTTTAAAATAGGTAGTTTTTTCCAGAAGCTTATGTCAATCTCTTTTGTAGATAATAATAATGGATTTGTTTGCAACTCACATAATTCTAATTGAAGTTCAGCATCTTGCTTTTCAATTTCAACTGCCATTGGATTATTAAACAAATTTATTTGAGGGCGCATAAGTTCAATTTCTTCAAATCATCTTTTGAATTCTACAGTTAATTCGTCCAGGTAGGTAATGCAATGTTGAAAATTAAACTCATCGTTCAATTCTATTTTTATAATTTCGCAACACGGAAAATGAATTAGTTTTTTTTCAACGACTAAATTTTTAAAAACTACTAATTTTTTTCTGAATCTATCTTAAAATCCAATAATTTGAGAAATTGTTTGTTTTTTACCTTGAAGTTGTAAATTTAATTTATTTAAATGTTGAGAAATATCAGTTAAAAATGCCAATGAACATAAAAATTGTTTATCAACCAATTGGTTTTCCAAATACGTAGTATCAGTTTTAATATTTGTTTTAAAAAACTCAAATATTTCTTTTCTCAAAACAAAAAAAACGTTCTAGACACTTTCCACAACTTAACCAGCGTACATCCGTGTGTAATAGTAAATCACCATACTCACAATCAAGTTCCTCCAAATATGTAATAAAATTACGGTGGTTTAAACTACGGTTGCCTCCTCTAATGAGATTAGAAATTTTAAAAACAGTATTCATAACTCTGTCAAGTTTCATTATTTTTCCACACAACGCTTCCTGATGAATAATACAACATATAGCAGGAACATTAACGTTAAATTTGCGTAATAATCCAACAAAACCAATATTTTTGCCAACCATAGCTTTGGCACCATCTGTCACAACCGATGACATTTTTTTGAATCCACCAAATGGTTCAATTGCGTTTTTTACTGCATTAAATATATCACTTCCTTTGGTAGTTTCATGCAAGGAACATAATTCTAATACCTCTTCATACACTTCAAACTGTGGATATATTACTCTAACAAATATTAAAAGTTGACTTACATCCTGTAACATCTGTGCTTTCATCCAATGCAATCGAAAAATATGCACAATCCGTCATAATAGTTTGCAATGTCTAATGAATGGCACTATCAATGTCAGCTATAAGACGTGTCACTGTGCGCCTTGAAAGTGAAAATTTTTCAAATTCACTGGCAATTTTGTTTTTGTTAATTGATTTAGCCATTTTTACTGCACAATTTTTAACAAATTCGCCATCATTCAACGATTTTTTAGATTTTGCTATTTCGTTAGAAATTATATATGAAGCCAATAAACTTGATTGTTGTGAAGTTGTTGCTTTTGTCATCACATTTTGTTATGATTGAAGTTTTCTTTTGAGATCAATTACAACACTCTCTCTTGCATCACCAATGTATTTTTCATATTTGGACAAATGCTTTGTCATGTAATGTCTTTTTAAATTATATTCTTTTAAGACCACAATAACGCTTAAACAAACTAGACATTGAGGTTATTTTTGTATGTTAATAATAAATAAATAGTCATTCTCCCATGAGGTATTAAAAGTTCTATTTTCATCATCAATTTTACGCTTTTTTACGGACATTATTAGGCACTACAAAAACACGAAAATAATAAATTCAACGACAACACGACACAAACGATACAAAGAAACTGATATAATTAAATAGGTTGCTACAAACAGCTATGGTTAAAAGCTATATGTATACATACGTGTGTATATACTATAACTATTTTATGACATTTATACATTTAACGATATTCAATATCAGATAACAATTATTATATCGATAAGATAGAGTATGGACTATAGACTATACATTATAGATTATAGAGTATAGACGATAAACTTTAAAATTGTATGTTGCAATTTAAAAATGTAACGCGGGCCAGATAAAAATAGCCAGTTGCCCACCCCTGCTATAATTCAATGGCAATAAGTTAAAAATAATTAATATCTTAATTTTAAAAATATATACATTAATACCTTTTTTAATATCAACTTGAATATTTGGAGTTGATGCTTCCATAGGATCTTGTAAGTTAACCTGTTCATCTTCTTTTACTGTTTCTCCACACCTCCAACTAAATTTAAATAAATATAATGATTTCAATTATCTATTTAATAAATATTATGTTTATAATTTTTTTTGAAGACGTTTTAAAAAGAAGAATCAATTTTTATTTAGTTATTGATAGTTTTTAACTTTATAGTTATTATCTAAAAAAATTAATGGAATATTTATTAGTTAGTAAACAAGTTAATTCATTTATTATATACTATTCAATAACACGTAAAATAAAATAACTTTGATAATTTTTGTTAATTTAGTATAAATTGTCTTAAAAATTATAAATTAAAACAATTTTTATAACTATTGATTTACTAAATATTTCTTTGTTACTTTCTTTATTAAAAACTTGTTAGATTATAGAACACTTCAAAATCCTATAATTAAAACTAAACATATAATAAAATAGTTGTTTTTTTATTAAAAGAAAATATATTTATATATTATGTTATATAATATAATAAAAATTTTTACATAGTCCTACGTATAATAACCTGCAGAATTTTTTTTAAATTAGTCTATTATATAAACACAATTATTATAATTAGAATATTAATAATTTTTGTGTATACCAGGGGTGTATTTAAGTAAGATATGGGCCCCCCTTGATCCAGGCGCTATCAATATTTTTTTAGGCAACTTCAAATAAATAAGAACTTAATGTCCTTTTTTTCATCATTACTTTAATTTTTAGCAAAAAAAATTCAATAACATGTTTAACAAAGTAAAAAATATTAAATACCCTCCTAAAATAATTTTTGAATAGGCCTAAAGGGAATATCTCAAACGTTAACCTTATACCTAATACATTTTACTATATTGTCTTTTTGAATTTTCCTGATTTTCATAATAACATTTTTAATATATTTTTGTTACACTGATTCTGATGTAATATTTTTTCTGCAAAACACTTATCGTGCCCGGCGTAGCGGGGTACCCCTACCGGAATCAGTGGCCTACTTATGATGACGGCTCGTAGGGCTCCGGGTCCGCGGCGGAGCCTAGTTTAGTAATAATTTAAGTAAAGAATTTAAAGCTATCAAAAAAAAAAATATATAATTTTTACCGGTTTAACTCAGATTGCAATTTATCACATTTCGCTTTGAAACGAGCACACTTTTCTTTCTCTTTCTCATAACGTCTTTTCCATTCTTCAGCCGTTAACTCTTCATTAACAGTAATAACATTTTTAATTGTCTTTGCTCTATAAAATTAAAATTACATATTATAAAATATTAGCTACAAGAATGTTTTATTATAATATTATAGCATAATTTTCTTAGTTTTAATATTTTAATTAATTGTTCATTTTGTATACTGATATAATATTAGTCTATTCTTAGTCTGTTTAAAACTCTTATATTTAAGAATAATGAATTATTTATTTGCCATTTATAAATTCAACTAAATTTAAAATTCTGTTAAAGTTTCTGTGTGGGAATCTGTTAAGGAATCATGGTTAACTCAATTTACATATTAGTATTCAATAAAAATCTAAATTATATTGATTCACTGAAGCAAAAAACATAATTTAAAAAAGAAAATAAGAATTTCATAAATAGACGTAGATAGCTGAATTTTATAGTTCTAAAGAACATTGTTCGAAGTAAATATATCTTACCTTCTACCAAAATCCAAAGTAGATTTAGTTTCTGATTCATTAAAAGATGCTGGAGAACAACAAATAATGATGGTGGTTCGTGCATTACCACCCAATGATTCTTGTAAAATACGTGTAAGCTTAGAATCTCTATAGGGTATATGTGTCTTTTTATCTTCTGCCAATGCTGATATAACATTTCCCAAAGCTGAGAGAGACTTATTTATATTCTTTGCTTCGTCTAATACCGTACCTTCAGCACCAGTTTTACTTACCTGAATAAAAATATGAAATTAATCAGTCTTAAAAAAATAAAGTTTTATACAAACAATTTGCAAAACAGTAATCAAATTAACGGTTTTAATAGTTATTTTTTTAATCAAATAAATATTATTTATCTTAAACAAAAATTATTATGTTATTTTAATATATTATTAACCCGTCGTATGGTAAAAAGTCTTTTTTATGCTCACAGATTAAATATTTTTCATTTAAAAATATATATATATAATTATTTTCTGCAATAATAGCATTATACAAAAATAATTTTGTATAAAAAATCATCCAAATACGAGTTTTTTAAGTTAACATCATCTACAATTGATTTTCCAGTGTCTGTATTATCTGAATATTCATTATTACCATTTTGGTTATCATCAGAATCTAAATTGTCATCAGAATAACTACACCATAGCTCATCATCATACTCCTATAATAACTTTTTATAAACTGTCTTTGTCATTTTTTCGTATTACAAAAAAAAAAATAATTCTATACATCTGTACGAAACAACACTTAATATAAAACTATTGTGTTTACCAGTCATATGTGATTAAAAATTTCCAATTATAAATGCCTGGGACTTTAAGATGCTAAAGATAACACATAATTTCCAAAAACAACATAAAACTAAACCCAGTCTATTTTTATGTATGTTATTCAAGACTATTGCAGTTTTCAAATATCAATACATAATATTATATATTTTATACAAATTATTGATATGTCCAGGGAAATTATTTACCCTGTGGGCTGTACACAGATTAAAATTTTGGTTAATATTTTTAACTTAAAATAAGTAGCAAAATAAATACCTTTTCACTACCAGCTAAATCAACTAGATAAAGTTTACCAGACAATTTCTTTTCATTTTCTAAATTTTCTTGTTTGACATTTATTAAAAAGACGCTATGACTTCTTGAACTGTGTTCATTCATATCTATAGAAAAACAACACATATAATTAACCATAAAATTGATAAAAATAAAAAAAGGCTAGTAAAAATGTTTTACTTGTCACAGCAATATGTCTATTTGCTTTTCCTTCTTCGATCACAGCAAATACTTCTTCTGGACTAGAAACAAAACGTTCTGTAGCACCTTTTACAAAAGGAACACGGTTCTTATCTTCATGTACACTTAGATTTACTTTAGAAACTGAAAAAAACACAAAAATAATTTAAAAACGTTTATTAGCTTCGATGCGAAGCGGAGAAGGTATTAATTTTACTATGATGTGTTTTTTTTTTTTTATGTCTGTTGCCACTTTTTCTCAGCTCTCACTGGACCGATTTCTTTCAAAAATACGTCAAAAGATCACAAATCGTATCTAGTTGAAGACATTACCCTTAAAAATTGAAAAAAATTCCCTCGTTCCCCGCAAATGGGGGAAATATCCAAAAAAATTACAAATTTAAAAATCGCTAATTTTCGAAATTTTTTCACTTTTTTTTCTTAAAACTTCCATAACTTTTTGAAAAATCAACAAATCAACATAATTTTTTTTTATACTAAAACCTTAGATATTTACCTTTCATTTGATATCATTTTTTTGAAAATCTATCACTTAACCTGCTCATTGGGGGGGATTTAAAATGGCAACTTTTTTACAAAAATTAATTTTTTCAACTTAATTTTTGAAAATGTTCCGGAAAGACTGCGTCCTTTAAACATATATCAAATTAAAGCTTATTTTATGTACTACAAAATGAAAAAAAAAAATTTGTCCCGACACTTTTTTTTCTACATTTAAACGGCTGCCGTAGTTAAAAAAACACTATTTTTGTGTTAAAATTTTCGATTTTCGATTTTAAATTTTCAACTTAAAAATGCTATAACTTTTTGAAAAATGTATATATCAGCACAAATTTTTTTTTTCTAAATACATTATAAGTACATCTTTCATTTGACATACTTTTTATTAAAATTGGACAATTTCCCCTTATATAGGGGGCGTTCAAAACTTAAAATATTGTAAAAAACATAGATCTTTTTCAACTGAACTTTTGAAAATGTTCCGGAAATACTGCGTCCTTTAAACATATATCAAATCAAAGGTTATGTTATATACTATCAAATGAAAAAAAAAAATTTGTCCCGACATCTTATCTTCTATGTGCAAATGGCTGTCGAAAATTTAAAAAAAAATGTAATGTTTGCGATAAAAATTACATTTTATCGGGATGTTTTTTGTACTTAAAACTGCCATAACTTTTTCAAAAATGAACAAATAAAAATAATATTTTTTTGTATTGAAACCTTAGATATTTCCCTTTCATTTGATATAATTTTTTTTGAAAATCTAACACTTATTCTGCTCACTGGGAGGATTTAAAATAGTAACTTTTTTACAAAAAATAACTTTTTCAACTTAATTTTTGAAAATGTTCCGGAAATACTGCGTCCTTTAAACATATATAAAATTAAAGCTTATTTTATGTACTACAAAATGAAAAAAAAAATTTTTTCCCGACGATCTATCTTCTATACGCAAATGGCTGTCGAAAATTTAAAAAAAAATGTAATGTTTGCGATAAAAATTACATTTTATCGGGATGTTTTTTGTACTTAAAACTGCCATAACTTTTTCAAAAATGAACAAATAAAAATAATATTTTTTTGTATTGAAACCTTAGATATTTCCCTTTCATTTGATATAATTTTTTTTGAAAATCTAACACTTATTCTGCTCACTGGGAGGATTTAAAATAGTAACTTTTTTACAAAAAATAACTTTTTCAACTTAATTTTTGAAAATGTTCCGGAAATACTGCGTCCTTTAAACATATATAAAATTAAAGCTTATTTTATGTACTACAAAATGAAAAAAAAAAATTTGTCCCGACGATCTATCTTCTATACGCAAATGGCTACCATATTGAAAAATATACTATTTTTGTATGATAATTATGGGTTTTGTATTTTATTTTAATAGAAGTTGATGTTGCTTTTGCAATTATCCATCAATTTTTTAAAATTAAACACTATCTACAGATTTGCATCGAAGCGTTTCTTATGATAGTGATTTTAATCACTGTCAGATTAAATCTATACTGGACCCTACTATGCAATGTCTCCACTATGCCGCGACCCCACTGTGCTACCGTTTTTTTTTTACTTAATTTTTCTTTCAATGAGTGTAACAAAAATTTTTTTTGTGTTATTAAAAGAATCACTCAAATATAAATTAATATTATAATAATACTTAGTGTAAAAAATTGTAAATCAAAAATATAGTCTCAAGTGCAAAATGTCTAATATTTAATGTTTTATCAAATTACTGCCTAAATTAGAAAAAGTCACAAATATGTGAGAATAAAAATGATTATATTTCTATGATTTAAGCATATATAATACCTACTACATAACAACTACAAGTTTTAATATTAGGTTTAAAATTTTTTATATTTTTATACTTTGTATTACCATCTAATAAATCTCGAATTTTATCCATGTATATTTCAAAGTATGATACTTTTATATGAAACTCTAAATTTTCCTCCATAGCATAGATATGATTAAAAATATCATTGACTATACGTGGTATAATTCCTTGCTTTGATGGATCACCAATAACTCCTTCCATTGTGTGAGTTTTACCAGAAGATGTTTGACCATATGCAAATATAGTTCCATTATATCCACAAAGAACATCTGATTACAACATAAAAAATTACAAAAATTGTAGTTCTACCTTATATCTAAATTTCCAACAGTTACAAGAATAAGTTAAAGCTAGTATTTTCTATGAAACCGACTAAGCTAGGTTTTTTACAAACAAACTTTGAAAAAAAAAATTTTAATTCAGAAAATACAAAATGCATTTAGTAATATTAATTTCATTCTTGTCAAAAAACTAATAAGAGTTACAATTTGTTAATAATATTAGATCAATCAATATAAAATTACCGGAAACAATTGATTTAGCAGCATCCCCATATACTTTATCTTGAGAAGCATTTGGTTTGAATACTTTATCAAATAAGTATACTTTTCCCTAAAAAAGGGAAACAAGGTTATTTTACAAAATTATTACTATAGATATTAGTAATAGGATCATTAATAATAAAAAATAAGCTATAATGCTAGATTAATATAAACACAGTAAAGTTTAATAAACTGCCACTATTCTCAACTATTAAAAATGTTTCTTAAATTAAAAAAAAAACATATCATAGTAAAATTAATACCTTCTCAGCTTAGCATCTTAGCTAAAAGAAATTTATAACATGCAACTTGAATAATGAAATCTCAAGTTTTTATTGCTTTATATATATTTATTTCATTGTCCTTACAATATGAAGTCTTTAAGCTAATTGAAGCCTTTAAATAAAAAAGATTTAATCTTTTGTAAGGGAAATAACAGGTAAAATGTGTTATCTAATAATTTCAAAATGCTAGATGTTGTAATTATTATATAATAAAACATTAAAAAAAATTTATTAAAATTTTTTATTGAACTTCTTTTTCTTTTCTTTTTTTAATTCCACAAGCATAGTGTTAAGTAAGATATGGTTTTGCTTTGCACATCTCAATTTTTTTGTTTTAATTTTATGTAATTTTCATTGATAATACGACCACTAAAAAATAGTTTTTTATGATTATTCAGTTTTTTTCTTCCACCTGTTGTTTGAATAATATTTAGTAGATTATTATGAAGTATAATTGTGAATACACCTAAGTATTTTAAAGGTATATTATCCTTTTTTAAATTATTATTTAATTTACATGTGGGACTAATTTTTGGTAAACTGCTTTTGAAATTATATTTTTTTTACAACATATATCGAGCCTAGCATAGCCGGATACTCTTACTGAACAAGGTGGACTACCTGAAGAACAGCCCATAATGCCTAATGTGCCATAAGAGCGTAAGGGATCTGGCAAAGCCTAGTTATTAACTATTACTCTATTTTTAAAACAGTAAGCATGTTTAAAAATAAAATTTATCAAAAAGAATAAATAACAACATTTAATGTGAATTATAGTGAAGTTTTTGATAAACACCACAATATAGTCTAACAAATATATTTATGTGAATCATTCGATTTTTTTTCCTTTCATCAAACATTAAACTAGGAGCAATTTCAAAGAACAAAGGGGGCAATCAAACAACATACCATAGTTCTTAAACCATAATATTACTAAAATTTCAACATTTTACTAACTGAGATACAATATTAATATGTTGAAGTGGTCAATGGTGTATTTAGAGGAGGTTAGGGGATTGTAATCCTTAATTTACTAGCAATGTTTGAATTTTATAGTCTCACATAAAACATTTGATTTGATGAACTTTTTTTTGCTCATTAGTATTTTGGTGATTAACAATGCAGAGGAAAATAATCTCCCTCCCAAAAATTTTTTGGCAGACTTTGAAAGCCTACATAAATATTCATTTATTTTCCTCAAAGTCCACTAAAAGCTTGGACTGTCACTGCTTAAAACAATATTAATATTAAAAAGTTAGAAATTAAAGAAAACTGAGTCATATTTTATACATGGGTATTATAGACTTAGCACAACAGAGACTAAACACTATACACATATAGTGCAGTAAGTATGGTCTATCTGTTAATCCAAATAAAGCAGAGGTCGTTATGTTCACTAGAAGGAGAACAGGACTTGACAGTCTTGGCACTCTTACAATAAATGGATAAGAAATTAGCTTAAAAACAGAAGTAAAATACTTGGGTATTATCTTAGATAGTAAGCTAAAATAGAAATCACATGTTGAGTCAAAAATCAAAAAAGCAATGATTATACTGTGGACTTGCAACGAGCCATGGGAAAGACATGGGTCTTAAACCAATAGTTATGTATTGGTTGTACACTTCAGTGATTAAACCTATGATATTGTACGGTGCCCTAGTCTGGTGGACCAGAACAGCACTTGTTACAGCTAGAAAAGAACTTAGTTGCATACACAGAATGGCTGCCATAGCCATCATTGGAACATTAAGAACTACACTAACGGTCGCATTAGAGGCACTAATCGAATTGCCTCCTCTGCACCTAGAGGTTAAAGCTCACGCCAAAGCCATAGCACTAAGATTCCACAACTTAGGTACTTGGACTTAGGAGATTGACACAGCAGAACACGGTAAAATACTAAAGGAGATAGACCAGAGCTTTTTGGAATACCCCTTGGACTATATCAAACCAGTTCTTAAGAATAACATTTCTTACAAAGAGGAAATCACTATACGTAGAGAATGGAATTTTAACCATCTCACTGAGAAAGGAGGATTTGTAATACATACAGATAGATCCAAAAAATCAGAAAAGGTAGGTGCTGGCATTTGGGGTCTAAAACCTCTAATAAATGTCAATGGACATGATGTCCACCTCACTAATAACTAAAACTAAAACTTATACATGGGTTATAATAATAAATTCTTTACTTTTTTCCACAAACCTCAGTTTGTGGAAAAAAGTAACTTATCCCTTATTGTTTTTAAAAAATATACATTCTAGAATTTTTTTTTGTTTTAATATTATGTAAAGAATTTTGATGAGAAAAAATTTTCTGATTATAGTTTACAAGTATATTAATTACTGGAAAATTATAAGGGAAAAAGTTAACTAATTTTTTTTGTTGCACTAAATGTGATATTATATATCTGTGATAGCTATCCTATTAAATTTTAAAAGTGAAAAAAATGTTCAAGTTAAGAAAAGAAGACCTTTAATTATTATATTTTGTTTATTTGCTTATAAGTACATTAAAAATTAATTAACATATTAATAATTAAATGGGGAAATTTTTGAAAACAGTTGATCAGTTCGACTAATGCTATACTATGAACAAAAAATTAAGTTATTTAATGGTACTCACTCCAATGGTTATACAATTCTCATCAGGTCCAGTAGGAAACTTTACTACAAACTTAGAACCAGCTTTTTCTTCTGAATCATTAAGAGGACGGAATCGACACACAACTTTAATGGAGTCTTCAGCAGCAATTTCTCTTTCTGCAGCCATTTTTGAATTTTTATTTGTTTAGACTTAAAATCGAAGTATAAATATTCACTATTTATAAGTGAATAATATTATATGATGATACTGTAAATAACGCAAAGGCGCAATAATAAAACAGTATGTTAACAAACTGATTTTTGACTTAATGCATTGGCTTGCACAAATATAATTTCATTAACAACTGATGAACATCATGGTTATTATTGTCATTAATATATTTGTTGTGTGTAGATATGTGTCTAGTACAAACTAAAAAAAGACAGCATTCGAAGTAGCTGAATAACATCAATTACAATTATTTTTTAGTAACACTTAATAGTTTAATTACAAATACCAAATGTACAGTGATTACAATTGACTACGAACAGTGTCGCTGTACAAAATTATCATAAGTACTTGGAAATGTTATTACTTAAAGTTCAAAAATATACCAAAAAATAAAACTAAAAAAAAAAAAAATTATATAAAATATTACCACGAAAAAACTACAACACACCTAACCCGGTCGGTGATTACACGACAATTCCGATTCGATATGGTTCCTTCCTCAGATGTCCGCAATACCAATTGCTGCTATTATCGTTAGTAGCAGCAGTGAACGTGGGAGGTACAACGGTAGCTGCCACGGAGTACTTTGTGTGGTCGGAGCTATGAACGCAATACCGTCGAAATAATCAGCAAACAAAGCAGTCAGCCGCAGCGTTACGTCACCGACCGGAACGTTCTTTGAAACATTTTTCTAAGATAATCGTAAACGGTAAAGAACTGATAAAATAAAATTATGCCGCTAACTTCCAAACCACAAACTATGATAAAATAGACTGGACACGACTATGTCGGCGAGAATGGGAGGAATGTGATCCAATTTTTGTTATATAAATTCTATAGGAGAAAAATTAGATAAGCAGTGAGCTCTAGCCATGAACGTATTTTCGTAGTACAAAATTAAAATAACAGAGTGGGAGAATTGGAAAAATACATGTAAAATAGTAGATGGCGCCGTTACTTCAAAATTCTCCTTTCTATGGGAAATTTATAACAAAATCCGGATCTCCTGCAAAGGCCAAAGAGGGGTGGCTTAGTCCCTTTAATTGCATTTTTGATTTTCGAGGATCATTAAAACGTTTAAGAGGTTGAATTTGTTTTTTTCGATTAACGCTCGAAGATCCCAAAAATGTGTGCCACGTGAAAAGTATTTTTAAAACCTACCGTTAAATCTATCCTGTATACAGGGCCGTCTTTAGGGGTTGCTCGGAAAGGCAATAGGATCCCTTATATTTATAGAAGCAAAGTTTAATAATAAAGAGAATAATCTACAAAATTTGTAAATTGGGTTTAATATTTAATATTGTAAACATATGGCGGGGTAACAAAGTGTATCGTAAGACAATTTTATGTTTGCGAAGATGTGCTGCCATAACTGATTGATTTTACTAAATACTGAATTTGTCATCTTACTCCGTCTTACCCTACACAAAGGAGGCCAACCCTTTAATATAATTTTTTTTTTAATTATATTTTTATACATTATTTCATTTTTTGGGGGTCAGCTTGGCTTTATGGGTAGAAACTTATGTTTCGGCGCACTGAGTTTCGGGATCGATCCTCGGGCTGTCAACGAGATTTTTCTAGTGATTTTCTTATTGTTGGTGTTTGATCTCTGGTGCAAGGCGGTCATAATTTCCATCCATCATTTGCCTAGCCAAGAATTATCTGACTCCCTAACATGTGAAAGAAGTCCACCACTTTCTGTATCATGTTAAGTTCGGGAACTAACAGGATGTAAAAATGATCATTTTTTTTTTTATTATTTCTATTATTGACATATTATTTTAAGTTACTGTCTCGGTAACTCAATTCTAAACAGTGGACTGTAAGGTTTACGTATAATTAACACTTTTATTTTGGTTAATAACTTTTACTTTATTTTCGTGACGACTACGGCGTACCATCCGTACATATCTGTAAAAGTCGCCGTGCGCAACCTAACTAACTAATAAAAATAAAAAACTGGTCAGAGAACACTATGTACGCTATTACCACAATGAAAATGGATCGAACAGTTACTATGACTCTAAAATATAGACAGGATTAGTAACATTCATGCGCGCACATTTATTTTAGTTGTGAATAGAAATTAATATTTAGAATGTTTTGATGTAATTTTTTAACATCAAAACTTTGGGTATTAGTACATTAAGGAAAATTTTTCAAATTTCTCTCTTAAATATTGTAAGAGTATTACTTAACACCTATTAATATATGAGACCCATTTCTTTTACTATAGTTTTGGTTACTAAGTTTTACAATCGTTTTCGTCATCTTACTCTATAGCTGGAAAATGATAATATTCAAGAAAACTCCAATTATGCCCCTTAGAAGATGAAAAAGAGACGATTGAAAAAATTTGTGTTTGGTAGATATAGAAGTAGTTCTCATGCAAAGTTCAATTCCATTTACAAGCCAAAAAAAATCGTAGAAAATTAACCCACCTAATTTAACAATTAACATATTGTTATTATTTATACAATCAAATATATCTAAATTTTAATAATAAAATAAATATATTTCATTTTTATAATTAATTTTTTTATTCGTTTTGAGATAAATAAATACAAATTTTATATTTTCTTAACTATTTAAAATATGGTGATTAATCAAGGTTGATGTGCTCATTCTTTTGGAAATTATTGAAAATTTTATATTTTTGTAAAAAAGAAATATTTAATTAAAAAAACATTACAATAATATTTTTTCTTTTATGAAAATTAAAAATTCTCAATAGATTCCAAGAAAACGAGTGCCTTATTCTTAATGGATAATTATGTATTAAATATAGTTGAGAAAATATAAAGTTTGTATATATTTATCACTAAGTAGATAAAAAAAAATCTATATTCTTCTCAAAACGTTTGATGAGTAACTGTGAGTATTGGTTTCATTGGAAAATTATCTACCATTATAACAAGCTTTGGACTCAGTGAAAAATTGGAGAATTTAAGACTAAAAGAATCCACCTTATGTAAAACGCAAAATAACATTAACTGATACTTTATCTTTTAAATAACAGATTGTTATTACTACTCAAGCTGTAACTGTTATAAATCACTGCCGTTACTAATATTTTCTCTCATAACTGGTAGCATAGATTAAATACATTTAATCTATGTGTATTTAATATATGCTGGTAGTTATCACAATTTAGTGTTGATAAGGCATGTTAGTGTGGTTAAAGTTTTTTTCCAAATCAACATTTTAAAGTAACATATTTTCGTGTTTAATTACAAACAACTACTAATTTAATAGATTAATTATTCTATTTTGTACTAGCTTAATTTGATTTATTAAAATTAATGTAAGTTACTTAGTTTTATCTTTACTCATAAATTTTTTTAAATTTATTATTTATATTATCAAAAAATCAATAGATGAATCAAATGCCTAAGACTATAGTAATCTTATAACATTTATAATCAAATAATAATAAAACATTTAACTGACAATATTGAATCACATAAAATTCATCAAGTAACTTAAATATGTCATATGCAAGTATTCTTTCTAAGAACCTCAAAAAGGGTCCACTTAAACTTAAAAAGTTACCAGAAGAGAAAATATTGCTAGTAATAGATCTATTCAAGTTATCAGAGTTGGACATCAAATTTGGTTCCTCTCATTTTGATGCCATATCTAGCTTAACTATTATTCAGAGGGCTTTTAAGTATTTTGTATCGCACAAAAATCTATATTATAATAACCAATTTGCAATTTGTTTATTAACACCATTTTCTTATGATTTGATATTAGATTTTACTTCAGATGTTAAAATAATATCTAAAGAATTGTTGTTAATACCTACTTCAATAAGTATTACAGAAGATATTGCAGCATACGATTTTGGACCTTTTTTAAAATTTGTTGCTCAATTAAGAAGTATTCATAAGGATTCTATATTCAGGGTGGTCATGTCATATAACAGAGATGATTGTTTACCTATAATAGATTCATTAGATAAAAATACATATAGTATTTTTAGTTCTCCAAGTTTCTTTTTTGACATAGTTTATATATGCAAAAATAATTTAGAAATAGATGAAATGGCTCAAAATATTTATGGAAAGTTAGCCTTATTATGTAATCCATGGTCATATAAAATTTGTACTCAAAGAAAACCAATGGCTATTATGAATGGAATTTCATCATTATTACCTCATCCTTTAGTACGATGCAATTACAAATGATCAATTAAAGTTTTATTTGTAATTTTTTTTTATTAATTTTGCTTATTTGTTATTTTAATTTCTAAGACTAATAATGTTTGTATGTTATTTTGGGATTTGCATAAGTCCAAAAATTATTATTTTCAGGTCACTTTAGTTTTTTTAGAAAATTATTTGTAAAAAACAAATACATTAATGTATTGTTATCATATTAGTTAAAAAATTGAGCAAGTTATTTAAACAATATTTTTAATAAAGTTGTTTTTTATAATACTTTGTACATAATTCTATTTCTCCAATAATTTAATTAAAATGAAAGTTTTTATAAATAACTTCAGTCTCAAAGTTACTTAATCAATAAGCGTTAATTAATATATGTAAATAAACATAATAATTTAATAAAAAAAATTATAATAATGAGTAAAAAGTATCATTATAATTCAGTTACAATATGTAATTTTGAAACTTAAAATTTACTTTTATAGTTTTTTTAATGATAGCTTAATAATTAGTCTTTTATAAGTTATCATTTTCAAATATTGCTTCTAATTTACCTTTTTTACAACAAGGCATTTCTTTTACTAAATATTGGTCTATAGCATTTGGTGATGAAGTAGTACTCTGCTTACGTTTTCTACCCGATGTAGGTGTTCTTTTTTTATTGGTATGTGTTAATTTTTTTTTTGGCGTTGTTTGTATATTACCTTCGTGTGATATGGAACCAAGATTCCAGAAATCAGAGTCCTTCATATCTTCTTCTAAAATAGAAAAAAGATATTTAAAAGATAATAACATTTACTCAGTGCTCGAATTGGCCAAAAATAAGTAGGGGAGCTCAACTTAACAATTTGAAAACTGCGTCCCTAGTATTTTGAAGACTTTTTTTTTTACTCATTACTTTATTTAGTATTTATTAATAAATCATATTTCATTATCATACTAATATTAAAAAAAAAAAAACCCAGTACAGGGGGGTCGCGGCACAGTGGTGACGTGGTATAGATGGATCAAGTATAATGATATCTGACAGTGATTAAAATCACTATAAAAAAAAAACGCTTCGATGCAAATCTTTAGATACTGTTTAATTTTAAAAAATTGGTGGACTATTCCAAAAGCTACATTATCTGCTAGTTCATTATTAATATCCTAATTAAGATAAAGTATGTAGAATGAAAAAGGGATTATTAAAAAATATTATTTCTCATAAAAAAATAATGTTGATCCATACACTTTTCAATATGTCATAGCATTATAAAGTTAAAAATGTAAAAAATAAAATCGAGAATTTTCACACAATAATAGCATTCGGTAGCCATTTTCACCGTGAAGATAAAATAAAGTCCGAAATTTTTTTTTCGCATAATAAAGTAAATTACATTAGCTTTAATTTAAGATATATATAAAAGTGTCAGACTTTCCGGAACACTTTCAAAATTTAAGTTGAAAAAGAAAATTTTTTGTGAAAAAGTTGTCATTTTGAATCCCCCCTGTAGGCAGGTAAAGGGTCAGATATGAAAAAAAAATATACCAAATGAAAGATAATGATATTATGCATCTATATAAAAAAGAATTATATTGATATGTTCATTTTTGAAAAAGTTATGGCACTTTTAAGTAAAAAAAATTGAAAAAATTTCGAAAATTAGCGATTTTTAAATTTGTAATTTTTTTGGAGGTTTCCCCCATTTACGGGGAATGAGGGAATTTTTTTTCAATTTTTGAGCGTAATGTCTTTGACTAGATACGATTTGTGATCTTTTCACGTATCATTGAAAGAAATCGGTTCGGTGAGAGCTGAGAAAAAGTGGTAACAGACACAAAAAAAAAAAAAAAAAAAAAACACATCTTAGTAAAACTAATACCTTCTCAGTTTCGCATCGAAGCTAATAGTTTAAGATAAAAGTTATAGGTAATTTAATATTGTTTAATTTTATGTAAAAAAAATGAAAATCGGTTTAATGCAATTAAAGATATTTAGAATATAACGAAAACACTTTTTCGTGGCACACGAAAAACGCTAATTTTGTAATAACTCAAAAACTGTTCTACTTTTTGTATTTTGGATTTCATTTTCGGACTCAATGGACTTAAAAAATTACTATCATAAGTCATGGGTCAGAAAATTTTTTTTTATTTGTAATCTAGTGTTATTAACCCATTCATGCCCAAGGTTAAAATTTTTTTTAAATTTACTTTTTTTTTAATTATTTCTACTATTTTTGTTTTTGGGAAACCAAAAAAAAAAAAAAAATTTTTACCCATAATTTGCTTGATAATAGGTGTCCTATATGAAGGACAGTGGGAAAATAAGGTGTGATATACAAAACAAAATTCGACACTATATTAATTATAATAAAACGACTATATTACAATTGTCTATTTATAAAATTAATAATAACTTAATAACTTGTTAAACTATTTGGAAAATATTAATTATTTTAATGTGTGAAACTGTATGTTGCACTTCAAATGCAATCCCACATCACATTTGTTACACCTTGAAGTAGTTTTTTGATGACATTCTGCGCATCTAGTTTGTTTTTCTTGTGGAACTAAGTAATGCATTACACCATCATATCGAGGAATATAACTAGACGGTTTTCCTCCTTTTCGACCAGGATTTGGTACTTTATTGAATTTTTGTAGATAATAGGTCGCAATGTGCCTACGAAAAGCCAAAAGGTCCATTGGNTGTCGCAATGTGCCTACGAAAAGCTAAAAGGTCCATTGGTTTTTCAGTATGGAGTTTATGTAACTGCCAAGCATTCTGCACAGCCACATCAACAGAGTATAATACTATACACGAATACCATTTATTACCACGAATAGAAATTCGGTATTGTGAAACGTTTTGATCCATACGATCAACACCACCCATATTTTGGTTGTACGAATGTATAATTCGTGGTTGAGAAAATCTTATATATTTTTTATCTGAAACAGACCATCTTTTTGCGGTCGTGACTGGCTCAACTCCAATGTTGTTGGATGCTATGGTAACAGTGTTATTGTCCTTCCATGCACATACCAAAATACCCGAATCAGAAACATAACTTTCGTACGAACCTCTTTCTTTTTTTTTCATTGCAGCAAAATTGATTGGACATTTCTTTGTTCTGTTTGAACGTATTGTCCCTGTTCCATATAAACCCATTTCACTTAACTTTTCTAATAATGGCAAACCAGTGAAAAAATTATCAAACACCAAATGATATGGAGCTTTACGGTGAGCCAATAAATTATTTGCATATGATATGATAACTGACGCACCCAGGCCATACTCAGTATTTTGAAGATCACCACTTTTTCCTTGATAGGGAGATATCCAGACTACATAGCCTAATCTCAGAGTCCCGACCCAAATTTTGAAACCAAATCGAATAGGCTTACCCCTTATGAACTGTTTGCAGCCATGTCTGCCGAAATATGGTACCATTGATTCATCTATACTATGAAATTGTTGATGTGGTGTGTGTATCAAAAACCTTGAATTTAACATAGAAATTAATGGTCTTATTTTAGACAATTTGTCATGCTCATCAAGCTTGCTATTGTCACAGAAATGAATATTTGAAAAAATTTGGTCAAAACGATTTCGTCGCATAGCACTTGAAACCAAGTTGTTATATGTATCTGGTGATTTTTCCAGTACATACGTCTTCGTGATACTTCATTATAACCTGATAACAACAAGATACCTAAAAAACACTTCAGCTCGTTTACATCAATTTGAAGTGTTTGGTTTTTATTAGATGTATAACTATTTGAATAATCAACAATCATTTCCAACACTTGTTGGTCGAAAAATAGCTCAAACAGTTCATAGGGTTGTAACGGACTGTAAAATAAATTTGTTTTTTGATCATCAACAAAAATATTTGGAGTTTCTAGATCTCCCTCACGCCATAATACAGTTTGTTGAGCATCTTGGTTTTGTTTTGTTATTTTATTTTTTGGTCGATGAGCAATTTTTTGTTTTATTTTCTTTTGTACTGTATTACCACTTACTTTATGTTTGTTTGCTACTTCTGTGTTCTCTGTATCAGAATCGTGTATAACTATATGTGCATTTAGTAAGCTAGCCGGCATGCGGTTTATATCACCTATCGGTCCACCATCATCGCTGTCTTCATCAGTGATATCATTATTTGCATTTACGGGTGGCTCCATAAATATGTCAGTAACATCGTCAAAAATATCATCAATATCCCCTTGTTCTAATAATTCGGTTACTTTGTGAACAGTTAGTCATCTATAAAATTAAAAAATAGTTATATGTTGTATTTAAAACTAATAAAAATATATTTAATTCATGATTTATCATTTTTATCATATTTATGTATGGTATAATAATTTCAGTAACGGATGTACCCAGTGTCCTTCATTTAGGACACTATGTTTTTTATGCTTATAAATTACTTAATATAAATAAAATATGTACTCCAGTTAGTAAAATATGTTTACTATAGACTACTTAATAGTTTTTGTAAATGATTATGCAAATTATAAATGAACAAAATATGTTTTACTTACTTTGAAAATGACGCCATGGTGACTGAAAAATACACTGTTGTAAAATGTAATGATTTTGTATGAAAGCCATCAGTTCTATTGAATCAAATAATTTTTATATAATAAAAACACTGTCACATAGTAGATAAGAACAGATGGGCGAAAATAATTCTATAAATTGATCCGATACCAATGCCTATAAACCAGTGTCCTACATATAGGTCACTGAGCTTAACTTATTCCTTGCTATCGAGCATTACAATACTTAATTAAACTAATAACTATGGTCCAGGATTTAAAGAATTTATTAAGTTTTAGTCATCCTGATTACATCAATAATAAATAATCGTGTTTGTTTTTATTAAATAAAAAAATGCCTATGCGGTACTGAATACAGAATGGTCTACAATGTTTTGATAATCTAATAACATTTGATCCAGCAAATGTTTTGCATTACTTATTTTTAAATAATTTTTTATTTTATTAAAATAATATGTATTTATCTCTAATCAGAAAAAAAATTAAATTGTTTATTTTTAATTGTTTTTAAATTTCAATATAGCCACTTGTTTAACCTTTTTTTTACATAAAGTTTTAATGGGTTGATAACAATTTTAGGATAAGTACTTGTTAAGTTACATGTATTTTAATACATTGAGTGGGTTTGTAATATGAGTGGGTATTGCTCATACTGGTGTATACTTATGTAACTCAATAATTACTAATATTAAAGTTGTTATTGACCCATAAAAAATTTATGTAAGAAAAAAATGACAATTTTGAAACAATAAAAAATGTTTTTTTTTTATTAGAAATAAAATAACAGAAAATATAATAAATTAATTTTTATTTTTTTTAAATTTATAAAAAAATTTATTAAAAAAAAAACCTATATTTTAATTTATATTTTATTTTGAGATTTTCAAAAAGATTATTTAAAAATCATTTGTAAAAATAATTTAACAAGACCATAAATCTTTTTGACTGTTCTCCCAAAAGATGTGATGGAACATAGAGAATATTTTCAGGAGAACGGTACTTAGCTTATGAGAAAATTCCTTTGATCGAAAACTGTAAATTAATAAAAATAAAATTTTCAAATGTTGAGAATATACCATTAAATAAAATTCCTGGGATGTTTCATAGTACTTTCTGAGTTATTCACATAAATGTATGTAAATATTATCAATTACTGATCTCAAAATTTACCTGTTTGACTTTTATCTGAGTCTAATAAATGAATATGAGTTTTTAGAATGTTCGAAGTTAGTTTTTTTGTTTTGTGTGCTTGTGTTTTCATAAATCTTAACGATGATTTCTTAAGCTGAGATCTTGATGCTGACCAAATTAATGGTACTGAATCAGCACTTGCAGCAAACTGAAAATAATTTAAATTAAATTAAATATACAATTTCAAGACATTCATTGCAATTCATAAAGAATTAAGTAAAAATTTGATTAGCAGAATTAATACAATAATCAATTTAAAACAACTAAATATCAATTATTAATAAAAACAATATATTACAATATAATATATTATATTATATATACTAACATACAATATATTATATATTATATATACTAACTTTACAATATAATATGTTACTAACTTTGAGGCAACCACTATCAGCACACCAATCTGAATTACTGAATTCAATATTTGTATCTAAAGAGTCATTAATGAGTCCAATATTAAACATAGGATTTTCCTCATAAGGAAAATCTGTTAGCCAAATTACACCCTTTTGTTCAATACAGCCACTAAATAAATAGCGACCATCATTACTTATACTGATTTTAGAGTATGCAGTTTCGTTTTTATGTCCTGAGTATTGACTAATTAAATCTAGAATTATTTATAATTCATATTTTAAATATAAAGAGTAAAGTATCATAAATATATATTTAACTCAATTAAAATAACGTAAGAAATAAATATTTTAGACTTTATTTAGTAACCTGTATATTTCGATTTATCAATTATTAAGTAGTTTTTTTTAGATCTATTTCTTTTGTAAAAGTATCTATTTTATTTAATAACATACAAATTTAATTGGTTTACATAAAATAAAAACACTGGTTGGTAATATCTCTGGATCAGTATTTTAGAAGTTGGAAATATTTAAAAATTAGGTTAGGGATGAGGTGTTTGTTATAACTATTTTTATCATTGAGCATCTTTTAGTCATTCACCTTTTATTTGTTATAGTAACATTCATATCTTTTATAATATGAGGTGTGACAATAAAATAACGAGACTTTCTAAATATAACCTAAACTATTAACGTTATCTATAAAACGATTATTACAATATAATTAGGAAACACTTATCTAAAAGTACTATAAACACTGATGAAATCGGTTAATTTTCTTATACGTTAGTAACCTTGTTATTAGTGCCAATTGGACTATACTGCCGAAAAATATTAGATATAAAATTCGAACAACGTGTTAAAATTAAATTTCTTGTTAAATTAAAAAAAACTGCTTCGTAATCATTTCGTATGTTATGTGAAGTTTATGGTGAAGAATGTTTATCAAGAGCTCGCGTTTTTGAATGACTCAAACGGTTTTGCAATGGAATAGAGGACGTGGAAGACGATGATCGTTCTGAACGTCCTACCACATGTTCAACAAACGAAAAAGTCAAAAAAATTCACAAAATTATTCGGCAAGATCGTCGATTAAGTGTTAGAGCTGTAGCAGAGGTGGTAAATATTGATAGAGAAAGTGCTCGTAAAATTTTAGTTGAAAATTTAAAATTGAAAAAAGTATGTGCTAAAATGGTCTCTAAAAATTTGACGATTGATCAAAAATTCAATCGCAAAGAAATTTGTTCTGACACCTTAAAAATCATCAAAGATGATCCATCTTTTATAAATAATATCATTACGTGTGATGAAACGTGGATTTTTACATATGATTCTGAAACTAAGAGGCAATCCATGCATTGGAAGACACCAACTTCCTCAAGAATGAAGAAAGCACGAATGAGCAAGTCGAAATTTAAAGCAATGCTCATTGTTTACTTTGACATTAAGGGAATAATTTTTGTTGAATGGGTTCCTAGTGGGCAAACTGTCAACCAATATTATTATAAAGAGGTATTAATTAAATTAAGAGAACGTGTTAGAAAAAAGCGACCAGATCTGTGGAAGAATGGCTGGGATCTTCACTAAGACAATGCTCCAGCTCACAGTGCATTTTCAATTCAACGTTTTTTAACTGAAAAAAATATTTCTATACTTCAACATTCCCCGTCTCGCCAGACCTTTCTCCTTGTGACTTCTTCTTATTCCCAAAAATTAAAAGTTTATTAAAAGGAACCCATTTTCAAACGGTTGATGACGTAAAAATGAAAATGTCAGAACTTTTAAAAGGGCTAACTGAAAGCGATTGGCAACATTGTTTTCAAGAATGGCAGCGACGTATGCAACAGTGTGTTGATACTGAGGAAAGGTACTTTGGAGGTGACAATCATTAAATTGTAAAATTTTAAAAATAAATAACTTTTATTAAAAAAGTCTCGTTATTTTATTGTCACACCTCGTATATAAGAGATAAATAATATATATATATATATATATAAATAAGGATTTGCCTATAAATAAAAAAATATTTTAGCTCTATAAATAAATTTATAAGACAATCAATTAAATTAGCTAAAATCTTATGAAGGAGAGTAGAGCTAAAATTATATAATGGATAATCATAAGATTATTTACTCATGTAAAGCAGATATTTCAGTTAAACCATGGTATAATTGAAGGTATTATTGGATTTATTTTGCAGAAAATTTTAAGAATAAGTAATTTAAATAATTTAATTTAATTTTTGAACTATTGAGTTTAATAAATGAACCACAACAAATCTGGTAAATTTATTATAAAAATAAAACTTTATGTTAATTAAATTTAACACTAAAATTATATTTTCAATGATAATAATTTCATTTTAAAATGTCTGCTAAAAACGAATGGTTTACATTTTATTTTAACAAAAATTTGATGATTTTAATTTTAATTATAAAAATTGTTAGTCTTAAATTCTTTTCTAGAAAAAACATCAATTATTTCTTAAAAAGTTTTTTTAAATAAATTTCTATTTTTATTTAATCATCATTAATTTTGAGGTTCCTATATCCTTTACAATATTAATTATTAATTAGTATACATGGTTGAAGGTATTATTAGAAAGTGATTAAATTTATTAAGCTATAATTTAAAGGTCTCAAATAACTTAATATATATAGCCTATTTATGAGAATAATTATAAAATTATTCTTTTAAGTTAACTATTTTACCTGTATTTGTAGCATCATTTAAAGGATAACAATAAATTACATTGTCAACACCACTTGCATACAAATGTGTGTACAATGAGTTTGTGATCATATCTACATAACCAGAGTTAGCTAAAGCATTTTTGTTCTTATGGCAGTATGAAAACAAAGGTTTTGGTTCTATTGACCCTTTATTTTGTCGATAACTTCTTCTTATATCCCAAACTTTTATATTTCTATGAAAATAATGGAATTGTTAAGTTAGTATAAAATTTTTAATTTTTAAGTACTAACGGGTCCATGCTGGAACAAGATATTACAGTTTGATCACTTTTGAAAATAGTACAAGAAACGCCAACTGTTTTTCTAGTTTTCTTTTTTTTCATTGTAGGACCAGGAATAGCTATATTACAGAATAATACATTGAATTATATGCACAATCATTTAAAATAAAATACATTTTTTTTAAATATTAGCTTTATTCAAAATAATTTATCAAAACTTTTTTAATAAGTCAAAAGTTATTAGATAAATTAAAACAAAAGGCACAATCATATATTTAAATTCTTCTTCTTTTTTCCCCCAACTATTTGGAATCAACTACTCTTATCCTTACTTACACTTGACACTATCTCCCAAATCAGCTGTCCTTATATCGCATTCAATAACAACTCTTCATATCTTTTTTTGTCTTCCTTTACCTCTTTTTCCTTCAACGTTCATTTCTATAACTGTTCTCACAGCTTCCAATTCCTCTCTCCTCATAACATGACCAAACCATCTAACTCTATTTTCTCTCACATTATCCACAATTGATGCTACACATATATTCGTTCCTTAACTTATTTTTTCTATTCACTACTCATTTATCTAAGAATTTTCATCTCTTTTACACTCATTATCTGCTCTATTCTCTTTTCAACTGCCCAATACTCTGAATGGTAACTCTCCTTATATTTTTCAAGTAATTTCATCCATCACTATAGAAAAAAATTGATGACTTAAACAAAATCATAGTGCACTCCTACACATATCTTCTATTACATTAATGTACATTTTTGGTACTCTTTTTCTCATCAATGCCCACTTTAAAACCTCTCTTGGTATTCTATCATACACTTTTACCAAATCTATAAATACTATACATAGCGTTTTCTTCTTTTCCCTATACATTTCTATTATGTTTCATACAAAATACTAGTTCCATTGTTGATTTTCTAGGTAAAAAACTAAACTGGTTCTTTGTTACTGATGTTTCTCCTTTTATTTTTTGTCTATTACCTTTTCCCAAATCTTCATACTATGAGTTATAAGCTTTATGCCATAATAATTTTTAAACTTCTATATGTCTCCTGTGCCTTTATATATCGGCACCATAATATTATTCCTCCATTCTTTTAATATTTTTCCTTCTACTAGGATTTTATTAAAAAGATCCTTCAGATACCTTATGCAAACACTTCCTATATATTCTATAATTCTATTGGCAATTCATCTGGTCTTACTGCTTTATTCTTTTTCATTGATGCCACAGCCTTCCATACTTGTTTCTCATTAAATAAATATACTAGTCCCTTGTTCCACGATATATCCTCTAATGTCTCTCTAAAGCCTCCCCCAAAACAGGAGGTTTCTTAACCATTTATACTCCAGGATGGGTGGTTAGTCCGTCACTGGAATGTCTGTCTTGGATACTCTTTATTCAGTAATTTTTCAAAATACTCTTCCCACCTTTTTTCACATCATCATCACTTGTTTGCACCTTACATTATGATAATTTTCAGACTGTTTTTCTCTTAATTTTGCAAATCTATAGACTTTTTTTTCACCTTCTTTTATTCCTAGCCTATCATACAACTCATCATACCTCTTAAACTTTGCCTTACTTACCGCACACTTAGCATCTTTACACAAGCGTTTCTACTCCATCCAATCTTCTCTCCTTTTGCTTTTCTATAGGAAGAAGAGTTAAAAATTATTAAGTAAATGAAAACAAAATACACAATAGATTTTTTAATAAAATATTACTATGCAATTATAATTTATTATCATTTTTAACTTAATATTAGTATCAAAGTAAATAGTAATATTTAAATATATGCAAATATTTTTTTTTTTAAGTTAAGCCTCCTTAGTTGAACATTAGCACTATTAAATATGATTTGATTTACTATAATATCTAGACTACTAATAGTAAATTAGAATAATTTAATTAATTATTTCATTCAAGTATTTTAAGTCAAAATTATTAACATGTAAAGGTTTAGAATAATTTATATATTTACAAATAATATTAAAATTAATCAAAATCATAACTTTTATTTCAACATTTAACAGGTTTCTAAAATTTATTGATGCAATTATCTTACTATGTGTGTTAGGTATTTGATGGTCACAATCTAAAACTCTATTGTTGTTATTTGTACGTGTGTCCCAAATTTTAATAAATCCATCTTGACATCCACCACAAAATACATCTAAAAAACAGTAAAATAATTATTCTAGGTATAATTTTGTTATATATCTTTAATTTAAATAATACTGTAAAGTATTTTATTATTATTAGAACTAATATTGCTAAACATATTTGCATAAAAATAGTAGGTTTTCAATTTATATTATAAGAACATTATTTTAATTATTTTTAAGATCAAAAATATGAAAATTAGTTGGAAACTATGATAATATAAAAGACTACAACAATATAATCATTAATAAAATTATGCTGGGCTGAGTACAGCATAATAAAAATAATAAATTAAAAATAATCTGACAAGAAATATAATACATATACAGGATAATTGGTTTATCATAAAGGACTCGATTACTCACAAAATAAATACAATATCGGAAAAATGTTTTTGATTTCTTTTAGTTACATATATTTATTTAATTATCAGCTCATAATTACTTCTTAGAATCATTCTTTTTAACATAAAGGAGTGTCCACTTTATTTTTCAAATGGTAACACACCTAATTTACTAGCTTATTTAATAGAATATAACCTATTTAAGAAAATGACTAGTTGGCAACAACTTTTGTTTCAATATTTCATAAGTTTTTGCAAATTTAAAGTAATGACTAAATTAATTTACTGACTGTACTCTTTAGCCTGTGTAGGTATAATAATGAAAATAATATCCAAAGTACTGGTCCAAAAGTTGTTATTGACCAGTCATTTTCTATTTTATAAATTAATTAAATACACATTTTATTTTTGTAAAAAAATAAAGTTGAAACCTAAAGGCTGATAAATCATGTAATATATCTTCCTCTTCCTCGCCTTAATCCCAACTACTTGGGGTCGGTCTAAAAATCATGTAATATATTTAACTAAAAAAAACCAAAAAATTGTTTTCTGATTATTGTATTTATTTACGAGTTACCCTGTAGAATAGGAAAAATTTCTTTTTTAATGATGGATATAACACAATAAGATCAAAAATTATCAAAGTAATTGGAATGGATTTTTCCTTTAAATATTCTGATTAAATTAGGACTTATTTGTAAAATCTATAAAAAAAACTGTCTTTTACTTTTACTTCCTGGACAAAACATGACACTTTTGACAGATGAATTATAATTGAATTCTCTTTCTTGTATGAGTTGTCCAGAAGGAGTTAGTTGACATAATTTGGTTGTTTGGTCACCACAGGCGGTAATTAATTTCATATCAGGTTCAGCCCATGCAAAATTAAAAATAGCATTATCATGAAGAGTACCTAAAAAATTTAACGAATATTCAATAAAAAAATATATAACAACATAAAAGTTCAATACTTTTTATTAATTGTTTTTCTGATAAATTTTTTATGGTATTTTGAATAATTATTTCTCCATGTTCAGTTGTACACGCTAATATATGTAAATTATTGCGATTTCGACTAAATTTACAAGCAAATGTATTACCAATGTTATGTTCTTGATTAATAGTTAAATTATCAAATTCACATTCTAATCTTTCAACATAAAAATCAAAAATATTCCTTCTAAAACCTGTGAAATAAAATATATAAAGAAATTTAAAGTAAAACATAGAAATACATAGTAATTTGACTCTTTTATTTTAAATGTGATTTTTTAAATGAAATAATAAAATTTAATTAATAACATGAAAGATTAAATAATATTTAAAAAAAATTAGTTTATCTGACCATTATAACCAAGTTGTCTTTTATATAATCGAACAAGCAAGTTAGTTGGATCCATAACTAATAAAATTATTAACAGAAATCATTTAAAATTAAATTTACAAATATTATTTTAAATTTTCAACCGGGAATATAATAAGTGGTACCCAACTTCACTAAGGTGATAACAGTTTTATCATAGAAAATATGTTTATGTGAAATTATCTTGTACATATTTAATTTTACTTTATGTTATAGATGAGTGATAACATAACTATAATGATATTAGTATCACTATTTGAGATAATTTATATTATCTTAAATTATGATTATTATATATCCACAAATATTACAGAATAGATTTTAACTAATCAGTGGTATCTTAAACATTGTTTTGTTGGCTATTTAAGCAGGTACCGTTACGCCATGCAAGTTGTTTTATTTGATAATAAATTTGAATATTACATTGCTAACTATTATTAAATTAGTAATTTTTGAGCGTTATTTGTTTTATGAAGAAAATTAAAAATAATAATAATTAAATGTCTGTACATTATAGTTAAATTATTATTACTTTTTAATAAATGTGTTTTAAAATTATATATTTATGAAAAGCTCCGCATACCATGTCAAAAATGAATATAATTCAGAAAACTGAAATTAAAAAAAATGAAAGGTATTATTAATGTTATCATAGGTTATATTTTCATAGAGAAAATAAATTATAGATAAATAAATTTTAATTTTTTTAAACTTAAAACTATTATAACTTTTTTAAAATGAATGAATAAAAACGAAATATTTACCATAGATCACTATACATATTTCATTGGACAAATTTTTTTTTGAAAACTAAATACTTAATGCTACCTATAATACTGCCCACAGAGGGTATTCAAAATAGCAACTTTTGCATTAAAAGTTAACTTTTGAAAATGTACTGGAAATTTTGATACCTTTAGATATATCTTAAAACAAAGTTGTTTTAATTTACTTAATTAAAAAAAAAAGTTTGGCCCTCGAATTTGTCTACACGATACAAATAGTTACCATATTTAAAAATCATACAACTTTTTAAAAAATGTATATAACATGGAATTTTTTTCAAAAATTCATTGAAACATTATATGATAGCGATGCTAATCACTGCCAGATATCAAACTAGTATTTTTTTATTGAAAAATACTAGTTTAAAAAATACTCATCATAATGTGAAATCATGAATTGTTTTTATTAAAATAAATTGCTTTTTCTGCGATTTTAAATTTTACCATTTTATATTTTATTAGAGGAATTTCATGGTGGATGGCTCTATTTGTTTTGACAGTATTATCATTTGGTACTAGGCTATACAAAGTAGATAAACCTGATCATGTTTGGTAAGAAAGTCATAATTTTTTATTAAAAATAATTTATTTACTGTAATAATACCATTATGCATCAAAAAGCATTTTTCCACATTAATATTTTTATGCAAAAACCGTAAATATGTGATTCAAAAATTCTATAAAAACCTTTAATAAGAAAATTCATTTATTGAGACAATAAAAGAAAAATAACTATAATTTTTTTATAAAACAATATTTTCTTAAATAGAATATTAATAACAAAAACACTTTAATTATTATTAAATTATTCAAATACAAGTTTGTATTAATAATTAATACAGAAGTATATTTTATAAAAATTAAAATTTTTGGATTTTGATGCCATTGTAATTTAAGATTTTTGTATTAAATTTACAACTATGGTTACTATTTTTAGTTAAATGCTAATATATACAAACTAATAGTTATAATCTACATTAAGTGGAAATACAAAGTGATTGGTTTATCATAAACTACTCTATTACTCTCAAATAAATGCAATAATCAGAAAAAAAATGTTTCTTGTTTTTAGTTGCATATAATTATTGATTTATCGGCTAATCATTTTCGGATTATCCCTTATAATTTTTAGTGGTGTCAATTTTATTTTTTCAAATGGTAATCCACAAAATTTACTAACTTATTAAATATAAAATAATCTAATTAAGAAACTGACTGGTTGAAAATAATTTTTTGTTCAATATTTCAAAATTTATTATCATTTTTATACCTATATGAGGGAAAGAGTAATACAAATTTAATGAAACGTACTGTGTCTTTAAATTTGTAATAACATTAAATATTGCTTTAAAAGTTGCTATCAACCAATCATTTTCTTAATTAGATTATTTTTTATTAAATAAGCTAGTAAATTATGTACATTGTCATTTACAAAAATAAAGTTGACACCTCTAAAAATTACATGGATGATTCTACAAAATAATTTATATATATATATACAGGTATTCAGTAAGTAAGGAAACATGTTAATTGTTACAAACAATGAGAAAAATACAAATCCATTTCCTTACTGCACATTATGAGAATAATTCATTTCTTTAAAGTGTTCTTTATCGTCATACTTTGAATGTACTTGTTAGATTGTTACTATAATTATTAGTATAAATAGATAAAATATAATTATTTTGTTTGCTTTAGCTGGGATGAAACTCATTTTGGAAAAATGGGAAGTTGGTATATTAACAGAACATTTTTCTTTGATGTACATCCTCCATTGGGAAAAGTAAGAAAATATATAATTTTGAATAGTGAAGTGCTAAAGTTTTAAAATTGGAAAAACCCAATAATCAATTCTTCTTCTTCTTCCTCGCCCTAATCCCAACTACTTGGGGTTGGCCAATAATCAATTATTATTTTAATTCATAAAAATGGCTAATATTTGATATTATATGAATTTCGAGACTAAATATTTGGTATTATTTGGTTCAACTTAATTAAACAATTACTAACAAATTTATCTAAGAACAGTTGTAGAAATGAATGTTGAATGAAGAAGAGGTAGAGGAAGACCAAAAAAGAGATGGAGGGATGCGATTTGAGGACAGCTGATGTAGGATATTGTGTCAAATGGAAGCTTAAGATACACCAAGTAGTTGGTATTAAGGCGAGGAAGAAGAAGACTGACAAATTCATACTTTTTTTTGTAATATATTAAATAGTAATATTTATTAAATATCAACAATATTTTAGTAATTATCTCATTTATATGCAAAGAATATAAATCACATTTTAGGATTATTTAACTGTTTAATATTGTTATAAGTTTTTTGAACCAATTAATTTTTCTCATTACAATAATATAAAAATTTCAATAGTTTCTTATGTCGTAACACAGGAAAGAAAAACGATAAAATGATAAATGTGTAACTGTGTGTACGAAGATGAATATGAGGAGGTGGTGCCTGCTGTCTAGGTATTCACGTGCGTGTTGTCGTACAGCAGTCACCGTGCTCGGCTGACACTCCGGGTTAGCTGTGGGTGTCGAAAGGCTGTTGTTATAGGAAGGGAGAATAAGAGTAACACCTAGGTATGAGGTGCAGACGAAGTGCAAGACACAAATACTAGGCGTACCAGGTGAGGAAAGATAACAGAGTACGAGGTGCAGACGAAGTGCAAGACACAAGTACTCTGAAATGTCGAGGAAAAGAGTATATAGGTTAGAAAAGGAATAAACAAAGACTTTACTTTAAACAGTAAGCCGGACAGCGACAACCGAGTACTGAGACTGATGAATGACACAAGGCACTGGAGTCGACTGACCACGATGGTCAGGTCTATTGGGTTTTTATAATAATTACACTTATTGCCGATTTGGCAATAAATATTATTTGTTAATTCATCAGTCGGATGTGCTGTCTGTATTTTATTAAAATAATTCTCACGATTATGAAAACGTGACACCATCACACTTAGAAAATTAATATTTATAATCAATGACATAACATTCATGTGCTAAAACAATATTTATATTAAATTAAACATCAGATATTTTATATGACTAAAGAATAAATTATCAAATAACTCAAGTATGTAAAGATTTTAATATAATAAAACAAATTTGTTTTTAATTATTATTTTCTTTTATACTTTTTATAGATGTTAATAGCTTTTTCTGGAATACTAACAGGGTATAATGGAAGTTTTCCATTTGATAAACCTGGAGACAAATATGATGGAGTCAATTATCTTGGAATGCGAGAGGTCAGATTAAAATAATTATATGATAAAATTTGAATAAGTTATAGTGCTTAATAGCTCCTTACCCTACGTCTATGCATATATGATATATTAATATTTATTAATATTTTTTAGTTAATTAATTTAACATTAATTATACTTTATAATGTACAGTTTTAGACACCAATAGGATGGAGGCTTAAATGATTAAAGTTCTATCAAAATTATATTTCCTTAATATTATAATATATTACATTATGAAAGATATAAAGATAAACGTGTGATAATTAATTTTATGATTCTATTATAATTTTTAATTTTGAAAAAAAACGTTATCTAATGATTTTTTTTTTTTTTTTTATAGCTTTTATTAAAATAATATTTAGCTCAACAATTATAAGCAAACGTAATAAGTATAAAAATGGTAGTATTATGTTATAACAGAACAACAAATGCTGCAATAATTGTTAGTATTATATTAGAACATTATTTAAAATTATTGTTAACAGAACCTTTAATGACAAACTGAAAAATTAAAATTATTAATTGAAAGAAAAGAAGAGAAAAAAAACAGATAAATAAATAACTCTAATATAATAATAATAAACTAATTAGAGATTATACGACAAAGCTGGAACTGTTATCTAAAGGTTATGAAATAAATTCAAAATTTTTAAAATCTTGGGATACCATTCATAAGTGGAAAAGAGAGACATTAAGAATCGTTTTTATTATTAAAAATAATTTAAAAATCTTACTTTTGTATAAATTATTAAGAGAAATGGATACAACCTTTAGGTTAAGTAATGAAAATCATGTCTAACTTTTTTTATTTCAGTTTTTGATAATGTTTCAAAATCCTAATTACTTTTAAACCTCTTTAAATTAAATCTAATACATTGTACTCAGATAAAAATTTATATTGTCCAAAATCAAGTTTAGGAATTATTGACTGTTAAAGTCTTACAATTTTATATATAAATTTCCGATTTTTTAGTTTTTTGCATAGTAACAAAATACTTACTTCAACCTATTATATAATTTTATATTACAACTTGTTTAATATAATATACATATGATTAGAAATAGAAAAATATTTTAACGACTTGCCCTTTATCAGTAATAGCGCTTTTATGTCAAAAATGCGTACAGTAGGCTAATTATAACAATTGCTATTATATGCTTTTATATCATTAATTGTTTTGTTCTTTGTATTTATAAATGAGTACTTATTCAAAGTGCATTCTTTTAAAATAAAATTGAATTTTTCTCTATTTGTTTCCGCTTCTTGTTTGTCCAATCTCCTATTACTTTTATAATTATTTTTTTTCAAAATACATAGTGTTCTCTCTATTTCTATTAATAAACAAATTATTGTTTTCTTTATTATCTATGTAGTTAATTATAATTTATCTTGAATTGGAAAAATTTGTCACTGTTTAGCTGATTTATACTCATCTACTAACTACAAATCTCACTTAAATGAATTTTTATAATAATTTGTTGTATTAGTGTTTATAAAACTGTTTTATACTCACTTGTCTATGTTGTTAGTACTTGTTATATCTTTAAATTTTATATTTATCTTTTTTGTTTTTATTATTTTTACTTAATTTTTTTTTTTGAAAGATTTAATTCAATAAAATAAAATTTAGCCAGCAGTTTTTATTTGACATATAAATTTATGTGCATGCACATTACACATGTATGTGATGGATGAGCAGTTGCATTTTTTTATTTACTACCCATCCAAGTTATTGTTAAGAAGCTTTGCTATGTTAGATCCTCACTATATTTAACTTTTTTTATCTTAATTGTAATTAATTAAAAAAATTAACTTTTAATTAGACTAAGACTATAAATTTGATTGCTGAAAATAAAATTTCTTTTTTAGTTTTGTTCTATACTAGGTGCATCATTAATACCGTTTACATATATTTCCATTTGGGAAATGACTTATTCATTAAATGCTGCTACTTTATCATCGGTTTTTATTTTGCTTGGTAATAGTTTAAAATATTTTTATTGTATAAATTTAAGAAATTAAACACATTAATTAAATGATGAAATTATTATTTGTATATTGTTTTTTCTAGATGTTGGGACATTAACTTTGACTCAATATATATTACTTGATCCAATTTTATTATTTTTCATGTTAGCATCATTTGTCAGTATGTGTAAATTTCAATCGTGTTCTTATATGTAAGATTTATTATTATGAAACTATTTCTATATACTAATCTTTATATTTTTTAGAGAATTTAGTTTTTTTTGGTGGTTTTGGTTAATATTTACCGGTGTAACAATGGCATGTTGTATAAGTGTCAAATTTGTTGGATTATTTCAAGTAATTTTTATTGGGTTAATGACTATTACAGATTTGTGGTCAATACTTGGAAATTTATCAAAACCTATTGTAATTATTCTAGTTAAAAAGTTGTTATTTTAATAATTATTATTTATTTATTCTCGTAATTCATTATTACAGAGTTATACTTTAAAACATTTTACAGCAAGATTTATTTGTCTTATTATTTTACCAATAATAGTCTACATTGCATTTTTCTATATACATTTAACAGTACTTAATAAAAGTGGTAATGGAGATGGATTTTATAGCTCAGCTTTCCAATCAAAATTGGAGGGAAATTCATTGCATAATGCTAGTATGCCAAAAGGTTTGTGATGGTAAAATTAATCATTTAACATAAAATTTAAAAACTGAAAAAAAAAATTGAGTACACTGAAATTATGTGATCCATTGTGCTATACCAAGACCCTATTTTATATATTAAATCCCTGGTGAATGAATTGTGACACTTGTATTCTTATATACAAAACCATTTGTATATTATGTATTTATAATTGCATTGTACTAAAATGGACACTCAAAAGCTAATTTTAAAAGTTCAGTCATAGAAATAAAAAAATGAATTATTGATATGTACATAATAAAGCTAATAATATAAAATTTGTTATTTTATTAATATTTTTTCAAAAATATCAAAGAATATAACCTATACTTATAAAATATTTGTTTCATTGGAAATTTTTCTATAGAAAATATTGTGGTTTTTTAAAACAACAAAAATGATTATAAAGTAATAAATTACATGTTATAAGATTCTTTTTAATATATCAATTAATTTTTTGATTTCATATAAGAATTTCTAAATCAGCTGTTTTAATTCCTTTTCCTCTATAATAATCGCCCTTAGATCCTTAAGAAATCAAAATGTATAAGTATTTTTCTGTAATTTACTTAGTTTTATTAAACTAGGAGTCAATCTTAAAAACAAATTCTGTATCCTTAATATACCGATGCTTTAATTTACTTTTAAATAAAAAAATTAATTATTTTTCATATTGTAATTGGTATATTTTATTATTTGTATATGTAGATGTTGCATTTGGAGCAATAATTACATTAAAAAATTATAGAACTGGTGGAGGATATTTACATTCACATTGGCATCTTTATCCAGATAACGTTGGAGCTAAACAACAACAAGTAAGCATTTAAAAAACAATAAAATCGAGTGCTAAAATCAGTTTAAAATTTAGATAACAACATATGCACACAAAGATGAAAATAACCGTTGGTTAATAAAACCTTATAATGATGATGATAGTATTCACAACAGTTCTGATGTAAGATTCCTTAAACATGGTGATATGATTAGACTTGAACATGTCCCTACTAAACGAAATCTCCATTCTCATCGTGAACCTGCTCCTATTACTAAAAAACATTATCAAGTTACAGGATATGGTGAGGTAGTTAAAATTTTTAATTGATTTTTTTTTTTATAATATCGTTGATGGGTAACTAATATTTTGAATCCCCATATAAATTTCAGAGATTATAAAAAAAATATGTAATCACTGATAACTATTAATGATGCTTCTAATTTGATCTAGAATGGTACTGGTGATTATAATGATGTGTGGAAAGTTTTCATAGATGGTGGAACTGATGGTGTTGTAATATCTGCTGTTATAAGTAAAATTAAAATAGTCCATGTACTGCAACACTGTGTACTTACTACCACAAATAAACAACTACCCAAATGGTAAATTATAATTTTTTTTTTAGTTCAAACATATCTTTAATTTAAGGTTAGTTAGATTATTAAAATTAAAAAATACATATATTAAATTTTTATTAATGGTTAGAACCCATTTGATATTAAGATAATTTTTCATTAGTGCTATTTATTTTTAAAAATCTATTTATAAAGTGCTATGAAAAATTGAATTTTTACTTTAAAGAATTAGTGGATAAATAATTAATTTTAACAGGGCTTTTGAACAACATGAAGTAACTTGTAGCCCTAATTTAAGGGATGCTAATTCATTTTGGAATGTAGAAGATAATATAAATGCTAAACGTAAGTTTGATAATGTTATATTAATATCTTATCATTAATATATATATCAATATATTTAAACTTTAGCCAGTTGCGATGATTCAGTATACTCATTCCATCACAAAAAATCATTTTATTTTATTTTTTATAAAAGTACATTCAAGTTTTAAAAATTTAATATTTTATTTTAAATTATTCTTTTACATTTTTACAATTATTTAAAATTAATATTTAAACAATATACAAGTAATACATGGAAATTGATTAATATGTAGAACATATATTATACAGATGCTCAGTAAATAAAAAAAACAGGTTAATTGTTATAAACAATGAGAACAAAAGAAAACAGTTTCCTTACTTGCTGAACACCTATACAGGGTGTTCAGTAAATAAGGAAACGAATTTCTATTGTACTCATTGTTTGTAACAATTTAACTGTTTCCTAACTTATTGAACACCCTGTATAATTGTTACTATTATTATAATGACCATAATTTATAATATTACCAGACACTTAAATACTTACAGAATTAAGTGCGAAGAGCTATAGAGTTATATAATGATTTTTCCAATATGTAATTTTTTTTATATCAATTATTTTATTTTTTTATTTCTATTAACAACCATTTATCCATATTTATTACAGTTCCAAATGTGAGCTTTGATGTGTATTCACCTAATTTCTTAGCTAGATTTATAGAATCTCATGCTGTTATGTTTCAAGGAAACTCTGGCTTAAAACCAAAAGAAGGAGAAATAACTTCTAGACCTTGGCAGTGGCCAATCAATTATAAGGTTACTAATGATATTTTTTAAATTATATATTTATCTATTAATAATTATTATTTATATATTTATAAATATTTACTAATAGGGACAATTTTTTTCTGGAAATAACTATAAAATTTATTTGCTTGGAAATCCAATTATTTGGTGGTTAAATATTGTAGTCATGATATTGTATAACTTAATAGTTATTTCAAATGCTATTTTTAATAAACGGAAAAATTTATCTGGAAGTCATAGTAAGTTTATTTAAAAAAGGAAGAAATCTAAAATAACACATTCTCATACATCTTAAAACTAACTTAATAATATGTTTATATATATAATATTGTTTATAGTCTTAGCTTTTTTGACGGTTAATTTATCATATCGAAATTTATAGTATTGGAAACAGAATACAGTTGTAACACAGTTTTTAATTGTAGCAAAATTTTATAAAATAATTGTTATATTTATATGTTTTTTTAAATTAAATTTTACAAATATAGGATAAAATAACATTTTTTTATGGAATAATCTTGTTATACATTGGTTGTAAATTTGCAGCAGTATTTCTAATTGCCTTCACACAATTTCTTGCTCATTTGTGATTCCATCTACGGGGGCAATGGTTTTCCTGAATTATCTCGCCACTAAACATAGAATAAAACATACATGTGTATCCTTCTAAAATGTTTGGTCATGATACAAATACAGTAAAAGTAAATGATTAAATAAAGTAATATAAGAAAGTAACATTTAAAATTGTGTTGCAACTTGTCTTGAATAATTTGTTACATTTTATCTTACCTTAATTACTTTAACATTTATTATAATTAAAAAGCATTGTAGTATTTATATTTATAAATATAAACACATTAAAATCTTGACTATATTTAAATTTACAATTAAGATAAACAATTACTAATTTAACCAAAGATAATAAGCTGAAGTTCATTTATCAGTTTTTTTTATAGTTACACTTATCTTTATACTTAAAAGTATTAATTAAAAATTAAGTTAATTTTTATCCTAAATTACTATATTAATGCAGATACAAAAATATGATTCTCTTGTATTTTTAAGAATTCAATGGAAAGTTACTTATTACATGTAATTGGCTTTTTATTGGCTGGTGTTTACACTACATTCCATTTTATGCAATGGGTAGAGTTCTATATTTCCACCATTATTTTCCAGCATTTTTGTACAGCTCTATGTTAACAGGTTACTATGATTTTCATAATATTCAATTGTTGACAGGAAATTGAAAAAAACTGTTATGTTTTTCTTTACAGGTGTTACTCTAAGTTATATACTGGAAAGTATAAAAACTTCCAATCCAACTATATTACAAAAATCCATTTATGATGTGTGTTATGGAATAATTTACTCATCAGTTTTTTATAGGTAAAATGTAATAAAAACTTAGTAAAATTTATTTCTTTAAAAAATATAAATGTTTATGAAGGGACTTAATATAAAAAAAAAACCAGCACAGGGGGGTCGCGACACAGTGGTGACGTGGCATAGTTGGATCAGTAAATGATATCTGACAGTGATTAAAATCACTTTCAAAAATAAACGCTTCGATGCAAATCTTTAGATAGTGTTTAATTTAAAAAAAATTGGTGTTTTATTCCAAAAGCTACTTGATCTGCTGGTTCCTTATTAATATCCTAATTAAGGTAAAGTATGTCGAATGAAAAAGGGTTTATTAAAAAATATTATTTGTCATAAAAAAATTGTGTGGATCCATAAACTTTTCAATAAGTTATAGCATTATAAAGTTAAATATAATATAAATAATAAAATCGAGAATTTTCACACGAAAAAAGCATTCGGTAGCCATTTTCGCCATGAAGACAAGTCCAGAGGTCAAATTTTTTTTTTTCAAATTAAAGTATATTACATTAGCTTTAATTTAAGATATATATAAAAGTGTCAGACCTTCCGGAACATTTTCAAAAGTTAAGTTGAAAAAGTTAATTTTTTGTGAAAAAGTTGTCATTTTAAATCCCCCCCTGTGGGCAGGTTAAGTGCCAGATTTACAAAAAAAATATACCAAATGATAGGTAAAGACATCAAACATCTATAAAAAAAAATTATATTGATATGTTCATTTTTGAAAAAGTTAGAGCAGTTTTTAGTAAAAAAAAAATTGAAAAAATTTCGAAAATTAGCGATTTTTAAATTTGTAATTTTTTTGGAGGTTTCCCCCATTTACGGGGAACGAGGGAAATTTTTTCAATTTTGAAGGGTAATGTCTTCGACTAGATACGATTTGTGATCTTTTGACGTATCGTTGAAAGAAATCCGTNATTTTGACGTATTGTTGAAAGAAATCCGTTCGGTGAGAGCTGAGAAAAAGTGGTAACAGACACAAAAAAAAAAAAACACATCATAGTAAAACCAATACCTTCTCAGCTTCGCATCGAAGCTAAAAGTTATCAAAAAAAATGTTTAGCAACTATTTTTTAGAGGAATTTAAGAACAAATTTGCTATTAAAAAAAAGAATTTGACAATTTCTATAATAAGTAAACATGTTTTACATAATTCTTATTATCTGATAAAATAAATTTTCAATTTAGATTACAAATAATTGTCACATTTTATTTCTCAATTTTTCTTAAGTTTTATTTCAAATTAGACCATATTTAAAGTTCAGTTTTATAATTCAATTTATTTAAAAATATATTTGTAATAATAATAAATTACTTTCAATTTTATTCGATTTTAAAAGCAAAATTCCAATCAGTTAAATAAAAATATATTTATATAATTTTTAAAAAACAGTGAAACGGGTTCAAAAATCAAGATTGATTGATAAAAAAAAAAAATTTAATTCTGTTTTAAATATACATAAAATTACTATTGACACAATTTTTAAAATTTCAGCTTTTACCTATTTTCTCCACTTGCTTATGGTATAACAGGGCCACCAGCTACAGAAAAAAATAGTAGTATGTATGGTTTACGATGGTTAGAATCATGGGAATTTTAATAATTTATAACACTTATTTTTAACTGTGATAAAATTAATAGCTAGGACGACTCTTTAATCTAAATATTTTAAGTTATAATTAATTATACTTTTAAAACATTTATATTTAACACTTTTTATCCTAGGTCTTATAAGTAATTTCATATTATAATCATTATTTTTTCATGTTCCACATTTGTGTTATAAATTAAATTTTATATTTTTTTAAATAAACTTATTTTCTTAGTTAATAAACTATATAGTATTTTTGAAAGTTAACAATAATTAACTTTCTTAACGAGTGTACTTTATTTCAACACAAGGTTTTAAAAAAATTTATTGCAAGTAGTTTAATTACATTGTATTAATTTTTTTTTAATAGCCTTTATTAAAATAATATTTAGCTCAACAATTATAAACAAAGAAAAAAAAAATAAGTGAATTAGAAGTATAACAGTAACAGTGCTATGTTATAATGGTATAACAAATATTACAATAATTGTTAGTATATTCAAAAATAAAGATAAAATTAAATATTATTAAAATTATTGTTAATAGAAATTGAAAATTACAACTAAAAGAATTACTAAATTAAAATTTTTATTTGAAATAATGGAGGATGAGAGAAAGTAAATAAAAGAATATAAAATAAAATAATGAGAGGTTAAATGACAAAGCCGGAACTCCTCAAGAAAGATATGATTAAACTAATAATAAAGGAAGAACGGGAATTAAGAGTATTAGCTACGGAAGGGGGATTAATATTGTGGGAGACTAAGAGGCTGAATAGTTTATTTCTGCTGTTAATTAGGGCAGGACAATCAAAGAGAAGATGAGATAAATCGCATAGAGCTTCACTATCATGTAGGGGACAGAAGGGAATGGAATTTAAGGAAAGATGAAATGCATGGTAAGGCAGAAGATTATGACCTAACCTAAGTCTTGAGTACTGAGAAATTATATTTCTGGATAAGTCAAGGTTATGAAACCATGGAGAATGTATAATGGATGGAGAAATCGAGCGGTACCAACATACCGTTTTCAATTTTATTGTAGCCCAACTTTCTTGCCAGGCTTGAAGAACTGTATGTCGAAAAAGGCGGAGAAAGTCAGAAGCGGGAATATTATGGCTAGAAGAAGTAAAGAAAGGGGAAGTAGAAGTAGCAAGACGGTCAGCTGTTTCGTTACCTAATATACTAGCGTGGCCCGGCACCCAGTGAAAAACAATTGATTTATTTTGGGATCGAATTAAGGAGATAAGTGATCTAATAATAAGAATGTAAGGAGAAAGATGAGAGCAAAATGGATTAGAAGTGAGGGCAAGTAGGCAAGATAGAGAATCAGAAAAAATAGCAAATTCATTAATTGAAGTAGAAGATATAAAAATGAGAGCATTAACGATGGCAGAGCATTCAGTGGTAAAAGAAGAAGAAGGGTGGAGTACAGTTGAGTATGAAATATTAAGTTTAGGAATAAAGAATGAACAACCAGCCGAATTAGTTGATACAGAACCATCTGTGAATATCAAGCATTTAGTCGGAAAATTAGCTGAGTTATAATCTTTGAAGAGATTATTAACGGAAGTTGCAGGAAGAGAACGGAGGATTGGAGGAGGGAAGCCGAGGAAACACGTTGAAGTATACACTATGGGAGCTATTGTAAGAGCCACTAGAAAACAGTCAAATAAAGGTAATCTGGAGTGTGATTTGTAAATGTGACAGACCATGGGTAACAGAGAAGAGCATACTGAGGCTAAAATTGGAAGTGTTTTAGGCACGTAGCGCCAGCAATTACTTAATTCGGAGTATAAGGAGAAGATATGATGGTTAGGGGTGGAGAGAGATTTTAGTAGAAATTTATTAGCAAGCAAGCGACAGCGGATTTCGAGGGGGGGAGAGGAGCACTCAACAAAAATACTATGGCTCGGGGTAGACTTAAGAACACCAAGAATGCTCCGCAAGCATGCGGATAAAAGGGAATTAAGTTTTTTCCTATGAGTGTAGGAAGCTGAAGAAAATAAAAAAGAGCCGTATTCAATTTTAGCGCGGATAACGGATTTAAAAATGAGGAGGGACAAGAGCCCCAGGATGTACCAGTAATACAGCGTAGGAAATTTGCCCAGCGAGCAGCGGACGAGAGAATAAAACGGAAATGGGGAAGCCATCTCAGCTTAGGAACCAGTTTAAGGCCTAAATAAGTGACGCATTCAGAGGGGGGATAGTTATCCCATCAAGAGTAATTATAGGGTAAACTAACGGTAAGCGTTTTCTAGTGAAAATTATTAACTGGCTTCTCAATGGAGCAGCCTCAAAATAATGAATTTGAAGAGAGTTAGAGAGGACGGCGAGTGAATTATTAAGGGAGTTGAGGGCATTATGAATGGATATATGAGAAGAAAAAAGAACGATGTCATCAGCATAGAAAAGTGAGAAAGTACCACTAGAGGTGAGGGAGAGGCTAATTTTGCTCATGTAAATATTAAAAAGAAGAGGACTAAGGCAGCTACCCTGTGGGAGGCCGTGATAGGAAATGCGGTTTAATATTAAACCTGAAGGAGAAGTGAAAGTAAGAAAACGTTGTGAGTAGAGACGTGAAATAAAATTACAAAGTGTAGGAGGTATAGAATAAGAATGTAAAAGGGAAATAAGGGTAGGAATGTGTACAGAATCAAAAGCACCTTTGATGTCAACAAAGATAGCGGGACAATAGGATTTATCACAAAATGTTTTGTATATACTGGCCGTGAGAGTGGATAAACACTCCATGGTGCCCAGCCCTCTCCGAAACCCGTATAAATTAGGGGGAAGACAGTTATTTTTTTCAAAGAACCAATCAAGGCGGTTCTTGATAATGTGTTCGACTACTTTGCAAAGAGAAGAGGAAAGAGCTATTGGGCGAAATGTAACGGAAGCTGAGTTAGATTTAGGGACGGGAATGATGTTAAAATTACGCCAAGAATCAGGAATAACACCTTGGGACCATAAAGAATTAAGAATGACTAAGAGAAGTTCAAGGCAATGAGAAGGGAGATGTTTTAGAACCAAAGGGGAAATTCCATCCAAACCAGAGCTGGACGATTTACGCGAATAGATTGCATAGGACATTTCACTGAGTGTAAACGAATCAGTAAGAGAATGAAAAGGGAGAAAATTAAGGAAAGGGATAGGATCAAGGGCAGGAGAGGATTCTTCTAATGATGGGACGTAGGGGGGAGCAACCTTATTGCAGAAGGGATCAAACCATGACTCGTTTAAAGAGGGAGAATTTTTATATAGACAGTTTTTAAATTTTTTGACAATAGTCCAGGTATTGGACAGACTAGAAGAAGGATTAAGTGAGGAACAGAAAGAGCGCCAGGACATAATTTTTGCTTGTTTAAGTGTTTTTTGAACAGAGGCGCGTACCCTTCGGTACTCAAAAAAGTCACTTAGCAGACCCGAGGATCTATATTTTTTAAAAGCTCTAGTGCGCTCATTGATAGCGTAGGTGCAAGAGGAAGACCACCATATTGGAGAGGAGGGAAAGGACTTTTTGGTTTTTTTAATTAAAGGAACAGATAAATTAACTGCTCTAATAATTGTAGATACAAACCAGTTGTAGTCCTCAAAGGGAGAGGAGGAGAAAAAATTAGAGGTGAAAATGGTCATGTAATTTTGAAAAGTTGGCCAATCAGCTTTCGAATAATTAAATCTGTTAACAACGGTGTGAGAGGAAAAGGGAGAGGGAGTGGGATAATTTGTGTGAGAAATAATGATAGGAAAATGATCACTACCATGAGTGCAGTCTAGGACAGACCATGACAACAACAACGAGAGAAAGGGAGATGAAATGGTTAGGTCAACCGCGGAATCCATTTGGGAAGGGCCTGTAAGGAGGGTGGGGAGTCCTGTATTGAGAATACAAAGATTATAGGCAGAAATAGCAAACGAAATAATGTTACCACGATGATTGGAGATTAGTGCACCCCATGAGGGATGGTGACCATTAAAGTCACCGCCTATAATAGAATTACAAGAAACTAAAGAAAAAATGTTATCAATTAGTATAGAAGGAGGGTTGGAAGAGGGGGGAATGTAAATAGACCAAATGGCAAATGGCAAACAAGATCTATAGAATGATTAAGAAGCGAGATTTTTAATACAGGATCAATAGAAATAGGGTTAATGTAGATAGAATGATGAGAGGCGATGGCTACGCCGCCAAAACCGTCGATACGATCAGAGCGATTAATGTTGAACTGTGGAAGATAAACACGTTTAATTGAAAGGAGCCAAGTTTCAGAAAGGAGAGCAAAAGAACATTTATTATTAGAGAAAAAAAAAGAGAGATCGTGCATTCTAGGGGATAAACTTCTTACGTTCCATTGAAGAATATTGAAAGAAGGAAAGTTAGGATTACTATTAAAATGTGTCATCATTGTCAGATAAAGGATAATGGATGTTAGTTAATGAAGATTCTATAGTTGATTGAAGTATTGAAGGAGAATAAATTAAATTAGGATCGCTCGCGAGTAGCTGAACGATATGTTGCGATAAGCAGGAAATCCAGTTGCGGTCATCAACATTAGTACTACGATTTTGGGACATGTATTTTAAAAAACTGCCATTAGGCGAAATTGGCCTAGAACAGTCATTTGGTAATGGAGGAAAGTCGGGGGAGGGGATTTGAGTTTTATTACTTTTTTTCTTCTTTTGTTTATTTGTATATGTATTAGTAGAATAACTAAGGGAAGGAAAGGAAGGAGAAGCTACGACTTCGACACTAGATATATTTGTATTTTTAGCAACATCAGAAAAGGTAAAACTTTATTAACTAAACTGGAACGTTTGATCGAGGAGGCTTCAGAAAATGAGACATTGTTTGTGGCCATTATCTTTTTAATGTCCTTTTGCACAGACCATTCGCTGCAAGATCTATCCGTCGCAAGGTGGTTCAGTTTACAAAAAATGCATGAAGGAGGTATGGTTAACTTGACGTTACAATTAGATTCGGTGTGGTCAAAGAGACCGCAGTGACTGCAGCGCTCCTTACTGCGACTGAATTTAAGGGTGTGACCAAAACGTAAACACTTGCGACATTTGACAGGAGAACGAATACTCGGAGAGACATCAAAAATAACTTTGTATATTGATAATTTTTGAGGAAGAGTTGCTGACAAAAATTTAAGTTCAACTAAATTTGAAGAAACGAGGATGTTATCCTTTTTTATATTAATGCGTCTGAATGAAACAACTTTGATTGAACATTCATAACCTTCCCAAAAGTCTTCTTCAGAGATACTTTTATCAAGACGTATTATTCCAATACTATATAGTAAAGTACTAGGAATATTCGCAGAGTAGCCGTGTTCAGAAAGAGAAGGGGAAGTGAGACAATGTTGGCGTTATTAACCGACTCAAACGTGATTTTCACTCGTTTAGAACCGATAGGGTTTATGCTCAGAATACCAGGAAAAAGTTTGGAAATAGTTTTACCGAGCTTAACTGGGTGAAAATTACCTAAGTATTATCACCAAATGCAGAAACAAGTACATTAAGGGGACCAGTGTAGTGTAGTGGAAAGCATTCAGGAACATTGGGTTGCCTGACTGTTGAAATATTAGGAGACTCCGACATAGAGCGAGTTTATGTTTGAAGTTGGCGAACCGGGTGACGTCACAACGATGACTTCAGGTGAGCTACAATCCATGCTGAAAGTTTGAGATTGGGGATCATCGGATTTTGATTTACCGTCAGATTTAGGTTTTTTGTGTAAGGGGCTAATTGGCGATTTAGAGCCTTGATTGTTCTTACCAGAATAACGCGAATTATCCATGGAGATTTGTGGGTTGGAAGNCAACGCGAATTATCCAGGGAGATTTGTGGGTTGGAAGATTGCAGAGTGCTTCTACAGCGCATGCGGGGTGGTGTTGATCACCTCCTCCCGGATTAGGTCTGGATTGCATCCAGAGCCCTGGCGGACACAGTAAATGTGCCAAAAAGGCGGAACTATGGATTAAAAACTAAAAAAAAAACTATGAATAACGGAATAGTACTCTAAAAATAGGCGGGTAACTACAAACGTACGCGAGATAAACACGTCTGTACAATACGACCGATAAATCGTAACTGATTGTATTAATTAATGTTTTATCTAGTCTTTTCAAAATTACTTGAAGATTTGAAGGAAGTTTTTCGATTATTACTTATTTAATGAAAAATTGAGATCTTATAATGAGATATATAATTCTCCTCAGCAATAATAACACATAGAAAACAGTGTTATTATAATATTTGGTTCAACTAAAAAAAAAAAACCAAAATTTTTTTCCATTATTGTATTTATATTGAGAGTAATCGAGTGGTTTATGTTAAACCAATCACTCTGTGTATACTTAATACTAAAAATTATACATTTTATTTGAATATAGTATCATTGGCAGATTTTTTACACATAGAAACAGTAGCATACACAGTACGAAGTCTTCTCTCTAATGCTCGATAATGTGGTAATGTTAATAAAGAAACTGATTCATGTATATCCAACATTTTTTGTAGAAAAATCGTAAAATTGCCTCCTTTAATGGATTTTAGTCGATTCCACATTTTAAGACGAATTCTAAAAATATAAAATAATGTTAATTTGTCATAAATTTTTTTATACCACTAGTACTTACATACAACATTGATAAAGTGGAGCTAGTATGTCTAGATGATCTTCATAGGGATTTCCAAAACTATAATCAATACAAGTAATATGTTTAATTTAAAATCAATAATTTGTTGATAAGCACTTTTTTTTTAATTTATCATTAATATTAAAACTCTGTAAAGTCAAAACCACAGATTGTAATTGTTAAAAGCATAGTTAATCCAAAGATTAGGAGTCAAAATGAATAAAACAATATTTTAACAATTTAATATTTATTTGTTCTTGGAACAATGCTCAAGTTAAAACTAAACTAATCTTGGTGTATATAGTTATTGTTGTATTTTATATAAAATATACACGAATTTATTATATTATTATTTCTTAATTTATTAATTATACACATACAATGAATACTACATTTTTTATATATTACATAGAGGTTAACTCACAGAGATATATACAGTGTTACCCACCTTACAACAGTTATGAGCATGGCGGAAATAATAGTAATATATAAAATAATAAACAACAAAATAATAAAAATATCCCTCACATATGTGTTACATTCAAAAGCGCCTATCAATAAAATGTTATAATATACAGTAATTTGATAAAGTTTATAGTGATGACCATAACAATTACCCTACATCTCATAAATAATAACCCTAAATAAATTGCTTTTAAAATTTAAATTTAATACACTATTTAGTTGATTCTTAAAATTATGTATTCTTGGAATTTCACAATTAGTGAACAAAATAAAGCCCAGGAATTGGTGTAAAATATATCTTATCAAGCTGAATATAAATACCCTTGATTTTATATGGAATTGATACATTATACCAGGGGGTATAGGTATAGATTATTCATGTAAGGGTTTTAATAAGTAATTTAATCTAACCCAGTTACATGGAAAAATGTTTCATAATAAGTGGATTTGAGAGTTCAAACACCCTACCTACTCTCCCATCTCATGTATTTTCATTTATTATAAAAACAATAACGAAAAGCAAATGATTAACAATGTTAGATAATAATGTAGCATAAATTACTCTTAATTCTAACAAAATTATAATTGAAATAACAATGTGGTAATTTAATTATGTTTAAAATTGAGTAATTAAATTACTTAAAATATGAAACTATTTGAGAAAGTAAACTTAGAAGTGAAAAAGTTTATTTTGTAGGACTAAAAATATGTAAACGAGTAAAAAAAAATGTAAAACATTACTTTATGGTTCGAATACTTTAAACATCACTTTCTCAAAACTATCATTACTTGTTTTATAACTTTAAAACACAATATCTCAATGAGTTTTGTAAATTATGATAAATCTCAAGTTCATTATAAAAAAAATCTATTTATAAGAAGGGGTAACTTTTGAATATTCAATGTACACTAGGGTGGCCCTCAAAAATCGAATGTGTTTTTTTTTTTTACGCTACCCCTTAATTTTTTTTTAATGGTCAAAAAAATGAGCTGTGCAAAATTTGGGACCGATCCGTTAAGGTTAACCCGTGCCCCCGGGCCTATTAAGTTGAGTTGAAGAGTCAAATTTAATAGAAATAACTGATCTATGTCTCATAACTTTTTTTTCTCTTAACTTAGAATAATAAAAGTAAAACTCAAGTAAAGGAAATTTTACAAGAAATTCAAAAATAATAACTTCAATGTTGTTTTCTCAATAAATAGCCCACAAAAACACTACATACAGTAAAAAACATGTAAAAGTCTTAAAATACGTTATAACTGATTTTGTTGATTTTTAATTATTTAATGCCTATTGTACACCTATAACTATTATTGTACAATTAGAAGGAGAATAGACTAAATCAAATTTACTGGTCAATAACTAGTTTAGTAATATTACTATTTGAGATATTAGTATTTGAAGATTTAGACTAAGTGGAAGCAGGGTAGATTTTTTGAACATAACTACTTTTCAATACATTAATAATTATATTGTATAATGAATTACCTTTTTCCATTATCAATTAATAGAAGAGTATTGTTTAATTTTTCTATAAGCTCATAACGATGTCTATCTCCATTGCCAATAATAAAATCAAAAATTGATACTTCTACAAAATCTAATACTCTTTCCAATCCATATTTTGCTAATACATCTTTACAGTAATTATTCTCATTTTCCCATCTACAAAAAAGTAAACAAATTCATAACAAAGTTGTTAAAAATGATCAGTTAAGTTCTATTTATTATTTAAACTATTTTTAACATCAAGGATTGAGGGATCAATTTTAGAAATGCTGTGGCCAACTAACTAACTAACTCTTTGCTTTTTGTTGGCCTGCAACAATGTGGTTGCCGCTTGCATAACTACTAACTATGATAACAAGAGTCGCCACCACCTAAGCAAGGTGTCACACCTATCAGATATGTTTACTGGACCATAGGTGAAATTTAATTGTAAGTTAATGGTTTAATTTAAGTTAATTAAATAATTACTAACGATAAACAGTCTATTTGTAATTACCTACAACCTCTTGGTTTGAAAATTCCTACAAGTTGTAATATAATTTGGATATTTAAACAAGTAACCATGTCCTGTTAGTAAACCAGTCAAAGTGCTTATTTGATGTCTAGTCATGCTATTAAGATCACCCAGGGGACTTGATAAAAATTTTAGATTGTCTGTCTAGGTACTACCAAGTACTTCCAGATTTTCCTGTGTTGTTCTCTGCACCAATTTTTGGGTAGGGCTTTGAGTGATTGCTCAGTGAGTCCTACCACTGGTTCTGGTCCAACATAGGTGTTCTCTGCTCCTTTCCTGGCTAGAAAGTCAGCATTCTCATTTCCAGTGACACCATTGTGTGCCGGTACCCACACTAGTGTAACTATGTTGAACCTCGATAGTGATTCTAAAGTTTTCCTGCATTCGAGGACAAGCTTTGAATTCACCTAGTCGTTACAGAGTGCTTTCAAAGCCACTTGACTATCACTTAAGATAGTTATCTTCCTATTCTTGTACGAGGGTGAATCAAATATAAACGAGACTTTTTTTTTTGTAATTTATTTTGATTTTAAACGCAAAAAAGAATATAGTTTATTTTTCTACATAATCTCCTGATTTGGAAACATATTTTTCCCAGTCGAAAGGCAGCTTTCCACGACCTGCACCTTTCTACGTGGAAGGAATTGGAAAAAAAATGAGTTGATGACACCACTGTATCAGAAAAACGTTCATTCGCGCAATACAATATAAATAAATAGACTTTAAAAAAAATTATAAATGATCCACATTCGAATTTGTGATGTTGTACATTAATATATCACTATTATTATGGTGGTATCCTACTACATAACAATTGTCGTTAATATTGATCTCATCTTTTTTATAATAAGTTCATGAATAATTACCTAGCAAATTTATTTGTATTATATGTCCTTCTCCAAGGATGCAAATATGCTTGTAAATTCAAGTGCGATGGAAGATAAAATATAGCAGCTCCTTCAAGTCGTCCACTTTTAGTACATACAGGATCTTCCTTTTTACAGTAAAAACACTTTCCAAAAAAACAAGTTTCTTTAGTAGTAGCTAAATAAAAACAGAAAGTATTTAAATTACTTATTGGGGAAACATAGAAAGTTCCAAAATTGTATATCACCTTGAAATAAAGAGATTGAATAAAATTACTACTGTAGATTCTCTCAATATTTCTTTATCAAATTTATATATTTTTTTATATATATATATACACATGGTACATCCAACATTTTTTTGAAAACTTACAAAAAAATTTTCATAAAAACAACAAATTGCACTACTTGTTTTTTTTTCAAAGAAGTTGTTTATTACATACTTAAAAAAAATTATTAATTTTATATTTAAAAGAAGTATTACTAAATATTTAATTATAATTATATCATCATTAAAATATTTAATATGAAATATTTAAGTTATATTTATTATTTTATTTATTTTGACTTATACTTATAATGAACATTACTTCATACTAAACAATTCTTACAGTTTAAATACATTGTTTTTTTTAATCCTACACTAGCAGATTCCTTTATTTCTGTTGAATCTAAAATTCTCTTGACAACAATTGGAACACGAGGAAGACCGATTATAAGTGAAATGTAAAATGCTATTATTTCACCATTGTAACGGTCTTTACCAGCATACACTGGCCCTTCAATAACATCAGAATTAAGATACCTATAATAAAAAGTAATAAATTAATTTCTCTAAGTAATAAATTAGCTAAAACCATCAAGTCATTATTTATTGTAGTAGGGTGAAATGAGGTTATTATAAATTTATTTTTTCTCTTAAAATATTAAGCAGATTTTAATCAGATTGAAAGTTTTGAACTTTATACATGTTACTATCATATTAAATGTAAGTTCAGGATAAAAACTTGTCAATTTATCTAAAAAAAAAAAATACATTATTACAATTACCTCACTTCACCCTAATACAGCTTCAAAATCAGTTTTTTTAAATAAAACATTAAAATAAACTAAATTGTACCACTTTGGTTTAAATAAAACTTGTTGTTTATTTTCTAATGTTATCATAAATTTCAATTGAGTTCCTTTGATAGCATTGATGATTTTAGTAATTTTTGATGTTTTTAACAACTTGATAGTTGAGCCCAAATATGGTGAGCTACTGATGGGCATGAGACCATTTTTGCTCATAATCTAAAATTTAATTAAATAAGAGTAAGTATGTGAGTAATATGTAACCTTAAGCTTTTTTCATTAAATCAAACTATTTAAACTCAATGTGCGCAATTTAACTATTAAAAATCCACCCATCCTCATGAGTTTAATGTAAATAATCAAGCTTAAAGATTTCAACTAAAATTTTAACTATTTATCATCACTAAAATAATTTTAGGAAAAAAAGTTAAACTTTTATGTAATTGAGACGTTTTCTAGACAAAAGGCATATGGAAGATTTTTGAAACACCTGAATAGGTAGTGAGGCAGATAAGGGAAGTTTTAAATAAATAATCAAGAATATTTATGAATTCTAGCATACATGAAATTTTAATGCCCAAGGAAGAGTAGTTTTAAGAATTATTTAATGGTCATCCGATTTGCTTCTAGTTTACAGTCATTGTAAGAATGATGGGAATTTTTTTATATAAAATAATATTATTCGATAAGCCTATTGTCCAAGGAACACAATTATAAAAAAAATTGTACCCCTAGATTATAGAGTCTTAGGTCATCAGGTCTATAAGCTCAGATAACTTTACTTAAAAAACTTGGATAATAATACCATTCACATTTAAATATAAATTTAAATTAGCATTATATTATTTTATACCAAATATTCATTACATTTTCAAAAAGTAAAAAGGTCATAAAAAATGGAATTTAAAAATTAATATATATAAAAAGGTAATTTAATGTTGTGAACCAAAATTAATAAGCCAATTTATTTGCAAAGTTTTGATTTTTCACCTCAAAAATTCCATTTGACATTAAATTTTTCAATTTGTTTTCTGAAAAATGACTAAAATTAACTTATTAACTTTTGGAAAATAATAAATATTTATATTAAATAACTATTCAATATTGTTTCATTTAAATTGAAAATTTTAATGTAATAAAGCTTATTATTATTATTATTTTTAGCATAATCATATAACATTCAGAAAATCATTAAGATTATTTGTCAAGATAATTATAACTAATTTTAACACAAAATATATCTATTGTTCAAAATTTACTTTAATAGTTTGGGCAAATAAATCTATTTGTCCATCCATTTTCATCTGGATACTACTAATTATTACATTTAATTCTTTTAAAATCTTTGATTGATTAATTAGAAACGGTTTATCAAAATCGTCATCAAGTGTACTCAATGAAGACAAGATATTTTGTGTAGCAAAATATGTAGCATTATAATTGATAACTGGAATCTAAAACAAATAATGCAACATACTGTAAAAAAAAAATGGTTACAATTATGTATAGTTTAATAATATTAAAAATCTTAGTGTTAAATCTCAATTTTTATATTATTTAAATATAAATGCTAAATTGCAAAACTGCTAAATTTGAAAATCTTTATCATTGAAAAGGTAAAATCCTAGGAAAATGTTTTAATATAAAACAATTCTCTAATCATACACTATTAAATTTTTGTCTTTTGAATTTATTTAATAAGCCTTTAGCAATCTAATCGATTATATAAAATATTTAGTTAAAGCCAATTTAAAATTAAAAGTTATAGGTTAAAAATGGAAATATACTAAGATTTTCTTTTTTTCTTCTAACAAAACGAATTTTTTAACCTCATATAGAAACATCAAGTCAATAAAAATTAAGCAGAAGCTATTATAGATGTCACTAATATATCAGAAATTTTTAAGAAAATGCTATTTAACACAGAATTAACACATACTTAGTTATATAAAATCTACAAAACCATATATTTAGCATAGATAATTAATCTTTTTAAATCAGACTTTTTTTTTAGTGTAGCTCAACTCGAAATTGATTTTTTTTATGTAATGTTTCTAGAATAGGAAAAAAACAATTTTCAAAAATCTGAAAATTTAAAGTCTTAAGTTAAAAACTTAAGACTTTAATTAATAAATATATATATATATATATATTAAAAAAAAATAATAATAATAATAAAAATTATGAGTACATAATAGTAATATAAAATAATATAGCATGAGTCTGAAGAGTCAACTTAAGTGTATTCAATTTTTTCAAAATATCGTTCTGGGTATTTACCTCAACATTTTTATTATCTTTTGAAAAGTATAAAACTAAATACACATTTAAACACAAAACACATATAATACACATTAAAATTACATAGTAATACCTATAATACCACTTAAAGTATATCATAATAAATTCTATTTAGGTTTAAATATTGTAAAATATTTTAAACAAAATACTAGTTACAATATTATTAAAATAGAAGATTTTATTCAAATATCATATTTATTTCTAAAAAATTATTTAAAATAGAATTTTAATTAATATGTCGAAATTATTGCTTGAAGTGCTTGAAGACATTCCATGAAAGTTTTAACACATTCATGTCGAAATTATTTATAAAATCTAAAATAATTTTTTAACTTTTATCTGTTTAAAATGTATAATGATAACAACCGCTTAAAGTTAACATTAAACAGATAATATTTTAGTACTAGTCATCATAGATTAAATACACATAGATAGACCACGCCGTACACAATTTTGGCAGTCCAATTTTTATCATGAATGGACGCAGGGAAACGATGCACTGGACGCAGGCGATTATGCTGATAGATAGCGTAAATTTTGAGTGCTTCTATTGGTTGAAATATACGTGGTATTTTATATCTTTAATAATTATTACATGAATGTATGATGCACATAATTAAACTGTTATTGTTATGCACGTTAATTGCATTTTATGACATAATGTAAGGTTATTTATGATTTTAACTCTTTGTAATTATTTTTCATTGAAATTTTATTTAATTTTTTATTTTAATACTATACTAAGAATCCTTAACAGGACTTTGACATAAAATGTGGTATTACAGTACAAGACTAAACTGTTGGTCTCTAAATATTTTTATAAATTATTTTAAACAGAAAGCAGTGGCTGATAAATTACTTTGTAATTAGGATGAGTTGAAAAATCTTTATGATAAAAATCATCATGTGAGCTGTGCCCCAATATCACAAAGCTTTTATATTATACTTATTTTGTATTTGTATTACTATGTCAAGATATATAATAATCACATCTAATAGTCCACAATAATAAAATATATTAATATATAAATAATAACATAAATACATAAAATAACCTATTTTGAAATCATGTATTATAAATTCTAAACATTCAGAAATTATGAAAAATATAAAATTTTAAAATTTGTTAAAATAAGATATCTGATACTTTGCTTTTAATTTAATTTTTACTTAAAATTATGTTTCTAATCTAATTAATTTAACAAGCCAGTAATACGATACTCAAACATGATTTTGCATGTTTATACATTTTTTTTTTAAATAATAAGCACTATTTTTGTATCTAGCTTTTCTGAAAGGTGTAATTTCATTTTATTCATAAACATAACTTTATAATTTTTTACGAATACATTTATTATGTATCATTTTTTCCACTTAACATAGCATATAGTTAAGATATCATAATGACTCAAATAAGTATTAACTTATTGGTTCATTCTTTTTTGTAGGTATTGAGTAAATTCTATACTAGTGCCTTTTTAAAAAATATCGTTAATAAATATTTCTGACATGGTAAAAATAATTCAGATTATTTAATCTTTTATATAACTCTTTTTTTGAACAATTAATTTATAATTTTTATGAAA